ACAGTGGTTAGTCAAAAATTACTTGTATTCATGTGTAGACAATTTGCAACAATAAATTAAACGAGTTTTTGTTCTAACTTAACTTTTTGTTTTGCTCTAATTAAAACCCAGAAAAACACATTATATACGTCACTGGCAAAACGGAAGGAAATCTGGGGACGTGGAACGTTTTAATGTTGTTCATGGTGTTATTTTCAGCAATCCTTGTCTAAGTAAGTTAATATTTCATTGATGGAAGATGACATCAGCGTAACTCCTGTAATAAAGTCGTTTATTAGTGTAATTATAGTCGATATAATTGCAAGTAACCTTTTAGGAAATGATACACTAACTCACTAAAAGTTTTCTTGATGAAGATTTGTCTGAGGGATATCTTACAATTACATGGAGTTTCCTCAACATAATTTATCATTTATATTGAGTTTTTATTAATAACAAAATTTGGGAAATATTGATGCATTGTGACGTCATACTGAATACACCGCACATCTTATACGTCACGGACACTGGATGTTTACTGTTGTGTACAAGTAACAAAAAGCCATACAGGTAAATAACACTTCTCAACAAGAACGCCTTGGAATGGTGAATAAAGTTGTTTGGTGTCCATTTAAAAGAACTTTAAATTGACCTAAATACATATGTCATACATGAATACATACACAACCAAATCCATAGACACAATTACGATTATAAAAAGTGTCATAAGATATACATTTTACACTGGCTGTCTATTACTGTTGTGTACAAGTAAGTGACAAAAAGCCATACAGGTAAATAACACTTCTCAACAAGAACGCCTTGGAATGGTGAATAAAGTTGTTTGATGTCCATTTAAAAGAACTTTAAATTGACCTAAATACATATGGAAGAATCGATACATGAACTGAAAAATATATTTCATACACAACCAAATCCATAGACCACAATTACTGTACAAACGGGCTCAGTATAAAAAGATCGTAAAGAAAAATGAAGATATACATTTTAATCAACAGTTTGAAATTTACCAGGTGAATACCGGTAACAGATTAAGGATAAAGATGTTTTAGAGCCTTGTCAGTCAAACTGGTAACAGATTAAGGATAAAGATGTTTTAGAGCCTTGTCAGTCAAACTGGTAACAGATTAAGGATAAAGATGTTTTAGAGCCTTGTCAGTCAAACTGACAGATATATTAAAAACGTCTCGGTTTACATCTTGTTAGTTTACGTCTTATTAAAACAGCCAGTGTGATTTAAGGTCATGCCAGGTTTGGGTGGTAGAGGCCCCACGGAGGCCTCGAACCCGCGACCAAGAGATTGGAGCGCTCGCGATAACGATGGTCACACCACCGCGACCCCAAGAACATACAAGTAACTTATATAAATATGACTTTTTTATAAGATGAGAAATGTAAATACTAGATAAACACTGATTACAGAGTTTGGATAAATGATTCTTTTGTCTTGGTCAGTCAGACTGACAGACCGCACCCTAGATATGTTACAGATTTACCTTAACTTGTACCACGAGATAATTTACTTACAGAGGAGATACTTAAATTTGTCAATATAACTGACCAATTGAGGCGCCATCATTCATGGCTAATACCGGTACATATACATATGTAAAATGTATATCAAATGTAGAAATTTATGGAAAATAGATGTACGAGAAAGTGCATTATCAGTGAGATAGTTATAATGGGATAATATATTTTCCTGATCTGTATTAACAAAGATATTTTACCACCAACGTCACGTAACAGATATCAGATATCTCAGTGACTGACGATACGTATACAAACCTAACTAAGTTTGGTACTTTATAGATATATTGTATATACTTATATATCAATTTTACAACATTATTGCGAAACAAACTTTAAGTTTATATCAATCACTTTTGTTGGCCCTAACTTTTTATGTCCGTACCGGGAATCGGATCTCGAACGCTTAGGTGAAGAGCGAGTGGGTTACAATTACGGTAACACCCGAACACTCACGGAAATGTTTGTATGACGATCATTCTTGGAATCATCTGCGACAACTAACAAAATATTCACGACACAGGGTTTTGATCGAGATAAATGAAAACTGAAGATCGTAGGAAATATTTAAGGTAGTCATAACGACCTCAATGAGAAATGTCTTTTGAGCGATATAAAGTTGGACATGTTTGATGCTCGTCAGTTTGTCTGTTGGTTCCATTGTGTGAAATAAAGTTGGACGTATTTAATGCTCGTCAGTTTGTCTGGTGGTTCCGTTGAGCGATATAAAGTTGGACGTATTTGATGCTCGTTAGTTTGTCCGGTGGTTCAGTCGAGCGATATAAAGTTGGGCGTATTTGATGCTCGTTAGTTTGTCTGGTGGTTCCTTTGAGCGATATCAAGTTGGACGTGTTTAATGCTCGTTAGTTTGTCTGAGGGTTCCGTTGAGCGATATAAAGTTGGACGTGTTTGATGCTCGTTAGTTTGTCTGAGGGTTCCGTTGAGCTATATAAAGTTGGACATATTTGATGCTCGTTAGTTTGTCTGAGGGTTCCGTTGAGCTATATAAAGTTGGACGTGCTTGATGCTCGTTGGTTTGTCTGGTGGTTCCGTTGTACGATATAAAGTTGGACGTATTTAATGCTCGTTAGTTTATCTGTTGGTTCTGTTGTGCGATATAAAGCTGGACGTGTTTGATGCTCGTTTGTTTGTCTGGTGGTTCTGTTGTACGATATAAAATTGGACGTGTTTGATGCTCGTTAGTTTGTCTGGGGGTTCCGTTGTGCGATATGAAGCTGGACATGTTTGATGCTCGTTAGTTTCTCTGGCGGTTCTGTAGTGCGATATAAAACTGGACGTGTTTGATGCTCGTTTGTTTGTCTGGTGGTTCTGTTGTACGATATAAAATTGGACGTGTTTGATGCTCGTTAGTTTGTCTGGGGGTTCCGTTGTGCGATATAAAGCTGGACATGTTTGATGCTCGTTAGTTTGTCTGGGGGTGCTGTTGTGCGATATAAAGCTGGACATGTTTGATGCTCGTTAGTTTGTCTGGAGGTTTTGTTGTGCGATATAAAGTTGGACGTGTTTGATGCTCGTTAGTTTGTCTGTTGGTGCCTTTGTGTGATTTAAAGTTGGACGTGTTTGATGCTCGTTAGTTTGTCTGTTGGTGCCTTTGTGTGATTTAAAGTTGGACGTGTTTGATGCTCGTTAGTTTGTCTGGTGGTTCCTTTGTGTGATTTAAAGTTGGACGTGTTTGATGCTCGTTATTTTGCCTGTTGGTGCCTTTGTGTGATTTAAAGTTGGACGTGTTTGATGCTCGTTAGTTTGTCTGGTGGTGCCTTTGTGTGATTTAAAGTTGGACGTGTTTGATGCTCGTTAGTTTGTCTGGTGGTGCCTTTGTGTGATTTAAAGCTGGACGTGTTTGATGCTCGTTAGTTTGTCTGGTGGTGCCTTTGTGTGATTTAAAGCTGGACGTGTTTGATGCTCGTTAGTTTGTCTGGTGGTTCCTTTGAACGATATAAAGTTGGACGTGTTTGATGCTCGTTAGTTTGTCTGGTGGTGCCTTTGTGTGATTTAAAGTTGGACGTGTTTGATGCTCGTTAGTTTGTCTGGTGGTGCCTTTGTGTGATTTAAAGCTGGACGTGTTTGATGCTCGTTAGTTTGTCTGGTGGTGCCTTTGTGTGATTTAAAGCTGGACGTGTTTGATGCTCGTTAGTTTGTCTGGTGGTTCCTTTGAACGATATAAAGTTGGACGTGTTTGATGCTCGTTAGTTTGTCTGGTGGTTCCTTTGAACGATATAAAGTTGGACGTGTTTGATGCTCGTTAGTTTGTCTGGTGGTTCCTTTGAACGATATAAAGTTGGACGTGTTTGATGCTCGTTAGTTTGTCTGGTGGTTCCTTTGAACGATATAAAGTTGGACGTGTTTGATGCTCGTTAGCTTGTCTGAGGGTTTCTTTGTGCGACAAAAAGATAACTAGTAATTGATGTCCATTTTGTCTGTCAATGAAAGCAGGAGTTGATTTCACTTTAAATTATCAAAATGTCGATGGTTTGGCATGATTTTATTAATGTAAAACTTTCATCTGATGACATTCTGTGTCATATTGAAATCGTATATGGATAAATGTTTTACTGTGACTTTGAATTAAACTCCAAACAGGTTTCCGCGGGTATGAGGCTATGTACACTAGAGTGAATCTGTATACATTTACGTTGGTGTAATGTACAATTAATTACCAGGAGGGATATATTCCTAAAAGTCGTCATTGCAATAGTGAGTCTCCCTACCCCTACTCACACCTAGCCCTTTCCCACGCCTGTCTCCGCCGCCTTTTTTTCCAAAAATACTAGCCCCTTTCTCCACAGATCTATAACTATCTTGTTTCGCTCCCCACCGCCAACTTTTTTGTTTTTGTTTTTAATTGTCACCGCTCCTTTTTCTAACAGACGATCTACCCTGCAGCCCCAACCCCGCCCCCGCCATTTCCGTAATCATGAATCCGCTAATCTAGTCCATGACTACACACACGCTGGCTGACGGTGAATTAAATACGTTTACATAACCTGACGTTTGGAAAACATATACATCGTGCATAGATAGTTACTTATCTTATCAGAAGCTAAAAAGCTTGATCATTTGACGATGTCATCGTTGAACAGTCAAATATTGGAACGATGGAATCACTACAGATCTCTAGACGATTCTAGATACTTTACATGTAGGTCAAGTGCAGTGAACCGTGATGTCGTTTCTGCTGGTCGTTTAGGTGTCGGGAGTGAGAGCTGTCGTACCCGTTAGACTGTCAGACCGACTGGCGGTGAAATAGCTTACTCGTCAGTGGTTATGCAGAAACAAAAGACGTCAGTAAACGGACGGACATGGCTTCGTAATTTGATTCCTGATACATATTTCGTGTAAACTAGACGTTGTATGAACGGGGGTTGAAATTGTGGAACGGCAGGTAGTGATCGAAGTTAGTGTGTAGTTATTACACACGTGTCATTTACACAGTATTTCACACGCACGCGCGTGCAGCCAGTGTGTGACACCATGGTGAACATTGAAGATTTCTGCGGCAAGAAAGGTGGAGCGATATGGGTAAGAATTAAATGACTTACATAAACACTGAATTCACTGTAAAGCTAGGTCCTAGTTTCGTTTTGTCGTGCGTCGTATATTTGACGTCAAATGGGTGTAAATAGATAAGACATAACATCGTGTGCGTGATATTACTTCGTATCAAAACATTAAAAGAAGTTTATGTAATTTTTCTTACGTGATTATGCTGCAAAAACAGAATACGGGATAGATTTTTAAAAATTGAGTTACCTCCCTTTGAACACGTTCCAAATATTCACCTGTAGGTCGCAAGCCTACTACACAATGACCGGTAGTGCTATTCAAGTTCTCCATACCAGAATACAAACAGACATTTAAATGGAAATGAATTTAAAGGACATTTCAAAATCCTTCTACACCAATAGCAGTGTTTGTCTTGTAAATATGAATAAAACCAGATTAAAGTTACACAATATACGGGTGTCGATATATTGTTGGGTGTAGTATATATGCTGACTAGGCCAATCATCAGCTCCGGTCATTGAATGACCGTGAAAAGTAAAATGGGGTTACACAATTCAAGGGATGGGCCATGGGATTGATTTTAATATACATGTTTATATTTCTGATACTGATATAAAAAAACCATGTATATATATAATATGCTTTACATTGACTTTGTTGTCTGTAAGATAAGATAAGTTTATTTCCGGTTCAGGACGTGCTTGAGTCCTCTATACCAGACTCAATAATACATGTTAGATTTTCAAGATACTATAATAAATAAATTGAATTAATATGTGCCTCTCATTAGCAATGTTTCTTAGTATACTCTAAAGGTAGAGTTATTATATAGGACAAGCTGTATGTGGGGTCAATACAGGTAAACTATAGTTAATCAATATCAACACTGTATACCTATTACAATTTCACAAGGTTAAACAGTGTCGAAGGATTTAAATAACTTCCTATATTAATTACCAGGATCACTTATACCCAAGGTGTTATGTACGAGTGACGTATAATACTGAGGGGATGACAGTTACCTGGAGACTGCCTTTATCTCTTTTTAACACAATTAGCAGAGATGTTGGTGCTAATTACTGTTGCGTTGCATAGTCCAAAACCAAGGAGACTCTACTGTCTTGTTAAAGTAGAGCAGAGTCACGTGGTGTGTGACTTGTTGTATATGTAAACTATTTTACTCACAAAGTACCAGACTATCAATCATTTCAAAATAAATCTGGAGAAAGCTTGATCATTTTTAAATTGATTGCGCTAGATTTTGTGACAAATAATTTCTTTCAACTTTTGATATTTATAAAGCCAAATGTACGAATATTTACACTGAACTACCGTCCTATATTGCATACAGCCAAAACTATGAAGAAAATTAGCTTTAACTTGGCCTAGTTTCTTATCCCTCTATGTTATATGTCTGTATCAGTTTTTATCAGTTGTATTTTTTTGGTCTGGATTGAAGGTCAACAAAATAATACAAATTAATGACCTTGACCTACTTTCACAGTGTCAGGTATCAGTATTGAAACGTTTTTAATATAGGTCAATGGATATTCTTTTAAGATTCTAGATATTTGTCAATTTAATAGCACACTGCTGCATTATGGGACAGAGATAAATAGCTATTAAAAACTAGGTAAATGACCTTGACCTTACAAAGTTTCGTTATGGACAAGCATATGGTAACAGAGGTCATCACTTAATTTAATGCCTTAATTAGGATTTGAACATAGGACCACTGATTCATTAGTCCTGCGCTCAACTGATTGAGCTAAATAGAAGATATCCGACATATCTGATATGTTACAGCTGATATTCAACAAGGTTTCATATAATAACTTCCCCTTCTGAAAGTTCAGCGAAGCTTATAGTGCATGGCTAGGTTTTGTTTGTTGAGCCCCTACATGGGTGTCAATGAAGTGGAGGTAATTTTATATTTTGATGCCTCCACTAGGATTTAATCTAGCTTGTCTAAGATCACAAAAAGAAAACATATTATCCGACATATCTGATATATTACAGCTGATATTCAACAAGGTTTCATATAATAACTTCCCCTTCTGAAAGTTCAGCGAAGCTTATAGTGCATGGCTAGGTTTTGTTTGTTGAGCCCCTACATGGGTGTCAATGAAGTGGAGGTAATTTTATATTTTGATGCCTCCACTAGGATTTAATCTAGCTTGTCTAAGATCACAAAAAGAAAACATATTTCCTTGCGATAAGACCTTGTAAAATAAACACGGAAATACCATGTAAAACCCTTAAAACCTCAGTGGCCATGTATTTAATGCAGTTTTCATGTAAAAAAAAAATCAAGTTAAATCAACTTGAAAAGTTGCTAACTGTGGAAACATAATCATTGATGATAAAATGAAGTACCCGCTCACACACTTTTTCATTGTCCTAGTGTTTGTAACAGTACAAAATGACAGGCTAACGGGCAGTAACTAAAGTTTGACAAAATGAAAGATTTAGAAAATGATTATTTCGTCTTTCCTGGTAAGATTTTTCCTGGGTCATTTTAAAACAGTAAGTTCTTTGGAGGCATTTCTACAAAGACGAGATGTGATGATCAGATTGAAGTAAAAAGTCGACATCTACACCTAACAATTTCACTCTTTCCTCACACTTTATCTCTAAGCCTTCTAAGTTACAAGACTGTACTGAAAGGCTTGATTTTTACCACAAAATATTGCCTAAAATTTTTCTGGATTTGCTTTCATTCTGTTAAAATTTAACCAGTCTACAAGGATTTTGATCTCATTTTCTAGACAATCCTTTCAATTAAAACAAAAAATCATTGAGAACATGTTATCATCAGCATAATGATATAAACTACATTCATTTACAAAGCAAAAAATATCCTTTATAAAAAGGTTTAAGATTAGAGTTCCTACTATAGAACCCTCTGAGGGACCCCCTTCTAAACATCAGCCCAGTTGCTGTTCACAGGCCTCAGCCTGACCTGCCGCTGTCTGCCAGCAGGTAAGCAAGACCTGCCTCCAGTCCTCGAGAGAATGCAGCACAGACTGGCACCATAACCACTCCTTAAAGGTGCCATGAATGGACAAACAATAGGTTTAATTCACCAAGCAGTTCATGTGTGATCCTTTCAAATATTTTTGACAAAGAAGGTAAAATACAGACGGGTCTAAAAGTGCTTTTCTACAAAGGATCAAATTTCTTGAAAATAGGTAAAACCTATGTTTTCTCCATTTTATCAGGATGGTAGGAAACTGAGACACAGTGATTAAAAACTGATGTTATGACACGTGGAAAAGTCTCTGTGCAGGCTTTTGAAATCTTAACCGAGATACAATCAAAACCTGTAGCCATGACACCATCAAAACCTGTAGCATTTTTCACATCACTTCCTTCACATCAACACATTTCAAGATAAGGACATCTGAAATATTATCTGTACATATACTTTTTCTCTCTGATTTTTACAACACTGTGGTGAACACTTTGTCTTGCCCTCTAGATCTTTACCAACATCAACAGCAACACAAGAAAAGAAATGCTTAAAAACATTACAGACTTCAATCTGTTAAGCTATGAAGGCATCATTTTCTACTAAATAATTTTCTGATTGCTAAACACTTATTTGATAAAACAGGCTTAACAGTTCACCAAAAACCTTTAGAAGCTTTAGACTTCCCAGCTGTTTTCATTTGATACGTAACGTATCTTCCTTTTAAGCCACTCTTCTGAGATTTCTGTTTTAAAAGTGGTTTATTTACCTGAGGTTTACTTTCCTTTACGGGTATATGAGAGTCAATTACATCATGAGCCCATTTAATATCATCAGATTCATAAAAAACACACACGCCACATTGAAAGGAACATAAGATAAATCATGATTAAAGATTTTCTAGTCAAAATTCTCAAAACTATGGAATTTACTCTTCCCTCTTGGCAAGCAAGGTGGTATACCTTCTAAAGCAGTTCCAATAAAATTGTGGCAGTCCCATAGATCACAGTTAAAATTGGTAGGTCTAAAACATAGGTTAGTGCAGTTTGTGAGAATGACATCAATAATTTGTTGTTTACAAATCCTCTCTTCAGGTTGAGAATCTGTCATTTACGTTTGATAATCTCATGTTTACCTTTGATAATCTCTTGTTTACATTTGATAATCTCTTGTTTACGTTTGATAATCTCTTGTTTATAATCTCTTGTTTACATTTGATAATCTCTTGTTTACATTTGATAATCTGTTGTTTACGTTTGATAATCTCTTGTTTACATTTGATAATCTGCCGTTTACGTTTGATAATCTCTTGTTTACATTTGATAATCTCTTGTTTACATTTTATAATCTGTTGTTTACATTTGATAATCTCTTGTTTACATTTGATAATCTGTTGTTTACATTTTAATAATCTCTTGTTTACACTTGATAATCTCTTGTTTACATTTGATAATCTCTTGTTACATTTGATAATCTGTTGTTTACACTTGATAATCTCTTGTTTACATTTGATAATCTCTTGTTAACATTTGATAATCTGTCATTTACATTTGATAATCTCTTGTTTACCTTTGATAATCTCTTGTTTACATTTGATAATCTCTTGTTAACATTTGATAATCTGTTGTTACATTTGATAATCTGTCATTTACATTTGATAATCTCTTGTTACATTTGATAATCTGTTGTTTACACTTGATAATCTCTTGTTTACATTTGATAATCTCTTGTTAACATTTGATAATCTGTTGTTTACATTTGATAATCTGTTGTTTACATTTGATAATCTCTTGTTTACATTTGATAATCTCTTGTTTAATTTTGATAATCTCTTGTTTAATTTTGATAATCTCTCGTTTACATTTGCTCTCTTCAGGATAATGATCTGCTGTTTAACAATACCTACCCACAATTTACGGAGTGTTCCCAGAATACATTGCTGGTGTGGGTACCATGTGGTTTCCTGTGGTTTACCCTGCCGTTCTACCTGTACGGACTTTGTACATCTAATGGGATACCACTCCCTCTGTCTAGCCTCAACATCACAAAAACCGTAAGTATCATTTTGATCAACACAGAGAACAGAAACAGAGATTCAACCTCATAGTAGTAGTTATCAGAAAAGTTGGAGCAGGGGTGATGTCAGCTGAGGATGTATTACAAACAATGGCTTAGAAAGGTAGGGAGAGGGGCAAGGGGAGGGGGCAATATCAGGACTTTGAAATAGAATTTTTCATTTTGTCATTTTGATTTATCATCTTATCATTTGACCCGGGGTTATAACAAGAAAAAATATCTTTCTGATAGATAAATCAAATAACATTTTGATAGATTATTTTGAATTTTTAGAATAAATGTTTGTCAGCTCACCAGGTCCAATCAATCTCCTAAATTGCATGTAACCACTGCATTGTCCTTGGTCAATTTTTCCCCTTAAATTCACCTCTGCAGATAGTAAGTCATTAATGTCTAATTGAATGTTGATAAAAGCATCTGAATGGGTGAAAGGAATCAGTTTTGTACAAATAGTGAGTGTGACTCTCAACAGTAATCCAATTTAATGTTGAGAGTTAGCAGAACCAAAGATCCCGAATATTCAAAAGCCTTATGAAGAGACAAGAATGGACATGATGGAATTCTAGAAATGCTTTTGTTTTGTAACAATGATATACCTGGGTATAATCATTTCCTTTTTGACAAAATGAAATTGAAACATTGTGTTTTGATTGCAGTTTCTGAGTCTGGTGCTGTTTATTGTCACGGCAGTAGAGATGGTTAGATTGGGGAGTGACAAGGCAGACAATCACAAAGAAGTTCCGACGGCACAGTTTGTGGCTGGATCAATAAAAGCTGCCTCATTTGTAAGTTTTTCTCATTTGCTCAATAATGAAAACTTTGCGGTTCTTAGTATATACTTTCCGTTTCCAGAATGGCACATTTGTCAGACCATATCAAATTGATCAAACAAAACTTCCGTTTAACAATATCAACTTAGAAAAAAATACCATCAAAATTCTGTTCTGTTACTTGACCTTCAGGCCCTGGTTGTTTAAAGTTGGTTAAAAATAACCTGTTATTAGTAAAAATTTTCGAATGTAATTTAAACAAAATAGCACATACTATTTATCATTTCACAGCTAAACATTTGTTGAGTCAGGTCAGATTGATATTTTTAGTGTCAGTTTAGATTTTTAAGTCCTGGTTTTTACAACAGCAGCAATTTAAATTTTTTTACTAACCACTGTTAATCTCTAACTAACCAGCTGGAACCAGGTCTTCGTCAAAAACATTTTGGACTGTTCGTATAAAAAGAGCACCACTTTACAAAATATTGACACACACACAATCATGCATATATTGTGTCATCATGTATGTTATCATTGCAAGTTTTTGTTTCCATTCCACAGGCATTGACAGCCCTACTAATTCAGCTAGAGAAAAGAAGTGGTTTTATCACTTCAGGCATCCTGTTTCTTTACTGGTTACTTATGACTATTGCTGGGATTGTTCCGTTTTACAGCAAAATCATACAAAAGGTAAGCAAACCAACATTTATAGTGCATTCTACAGTCAAATCAATATAAAGGTAGGCAAACCAACATTTACAGATGGTGCCATTCTACAGTCAAATCAATATAAAGGTAGGCAAACCAACATTTACAGATGGTGCCATTCTACAGTCAAATCAATATAAAGGTAGGCAAACCAACATTTACAGATGGTGCCATTCTACAGTCAAATCAATATAAGGGTAGGCAAACCAACATTTATAGATGGTGTCATTCTACAGTCAAATCAATATAAGGGTAGGCAAACCAACATTTATAGACGGTGCCATTCTACAGTCAAATCATTATAAAGGTAGGCAAACCAACATTTACAGATGGTGTCATTCTACAGTCAAATCAATATAAGGGTAGGCAAACCAACATTTACAGATGGTGTCATTCTACAGTCAAATCAATATAAGGGTAGGCAAACCAACATTTACAGATGGTGCCATTCTACAGTCAAATCAATATAAAGGTAGGCAAATCAACATTTACAGATGGTGCCATTCTACAGTCAAATCAATATAAGGGTAGGCAAACCAACATTTACAGATGGTGTCATTCTACAGTCAAATCAATATAAAGGTAGACAAACCATCATTTATAGATAGTGTCATTCTACAGTCAAATCATACTAAAGGTAGGCAAACCAACATTTACAGATGGTGCCATTCTACAGTCAAATCAATATAAAGGTAGGCAAACCAACATTTACAGATGGTGTCATTCTACAGTCAAATCAATATAAAGGTAGACAAACCAACATTTACAGATGGTGTCATTCTACAGTCAAATCAATATAAAGGTAGGCAAACCAACATTTACAGATGGTGCCATTATACAGACAAATCAATATAAAGGTAGGCAAACCAACATTTACAGATGGTGTCATTCTACAGTCAAATCAATATAAGGGTAGACAAACCAATAGATATTAAGTATTCTAAATACTACAATAGAAGAAGGAAAAGGTTGAATTAAATTTGTTGTTGAACAATTTAGAATCTTAATTGATTTATTCATGAAATGAAATTAAAGGAAAATTAAAAGGTTAAACCTTATAGGTTGATAACATTGAGCTGGTGAGATACAAGTCTTAATTCTGAAGTCTTCAAAAAGCTATATGAATGGATGTATTGTGAAAGTAAACCATTTTGTATCTGTATTCAAATCAGTCAACTTTCCGATAAATTAAATGATGCATGACAACAAAAATTGACAGCTGGTAGCTATAGTCAACAATCTAGAGTTTATTTTCATGAGTCTTTGCCAAAAATAAGGTCCCTCCCCACAAGTCATTTGTGTGTGTGATGAATGTGACCGTGTAGTCATCAAAACGTCACACTCTAATCTTCTACTGGTTGTGTTATAAGATGAAGGTGACTGTGTAGTCATCGTCACTCTGAAATCTTCTACTGGTTGTGTTTTAAGATGAAGTTAACCGTGTAGTCATCAAAACGTCACACTCTAAACTTCTACTGGTTGTGTTATAAGATGAAGGTGACCATGTAGTCATCAAAACGTCACACTCTAATCTTCTACTGGTTGTGTTATAAGATGAAGGTGACCGTGTAGTCATCAAAACGTCACACTCTAAACTTCTACTGGTTGTGTTATAAGATGAAGGTGACCATGTAGTCATCAAAACGTCACACTCTAATCTTCTACTGGTTGTGTTATAAGATGAAGGTGACCGTGTAGTCATCAAAACGTCACACTCTGATCTTCTACTGGTTGTGTTATAAGATAAAGGTGACCGTGTAGTCATCAAAACGTCACACTCTAATCTTCTACTGGTTGTGTTATAAGATGAAGGTGACCGTGTAGCCATCAAAACGCCACACTCTAATCTTCTACTGGTTGTGTTATAAGATGAAGGTGACCGTGTAGTCATCAAAACGCCACACTCTAATCTTCTACTGGTTGTGTTATAAGATGAAGGTGACCGTGTAGTCATCAAAACGCCACACTCTAATCTTCTACTGGTTGTGTTATAAGATGAAGGTGACCGTGTAGTCATCAAAACGTCACACTCTAATCTTCTACTTGTTGTGTTATAAGATGAAGGTGACCGTGTAGTCATCAAAACGTCACACTCTAATCTTCTACTTGTTGTGTTATAAGATGAAGGTGACCGTGTAGTCATCAAAACGTCACACTCTAATCTTCTACTAGTTGTGTTATAAGATGAAGGTGACCGTGTAGTCATCAAAACGTCACACTCTAATCTTCTACTGGTTGTGTTATAAGATGAAGGTGACAGTGTAGTCATCAAAACGTCACACTCTAATCTTCTACTGGTTGTGTTATAAGATGAATGTGACCGTGTAGTCATCAAAACGTCACACTCTAATCTTCTACTGGTTGTGTTATAAGATGAAGGTGACTGTGTCGTCATCGTCACTCTGAAATCTTCTACTGGTTGTGTTTCAAGATGAAGTTAACTGTGTAGTCATCGAAACGTCACACTCTAATCTTCTACTGGTTGTGTTACAAGATGAAAGTGACTGTGTAGTCATCAAAACGTCACACTCTAATCTTCTACTGGTTGTGTTATAAGATGAAGGTGACCATGTAGTCATCGAAACGTCACTCTAATCTTCTACTGGTTGTGTTATAAGATGAAGGTGACCGTGTAGTCATCGAAACGTCACTCTAATCTTCTACTGGTTGTGTTATAAGATGAAGGTGACCGTGTAGTCATCAAAACGTCACACTCTAATCTTCTACTGGTTGTGTTACAAGATGAAAGTGACTGTGTAGTCATCAAAACGTCACTCTAATCTTCTACTGGTTGTGTTATAAGATGAAAGTGACCGTGTAGTCATCAAAACGTCACACTCTAATCTTCTACTGGTTGTGTTATAAGATGAAGGTGACTGTGTCGTCATCGTCACTCTGAAATCTTCTACTGGTTGTGTTTCAAGATGAAGTTAACTGTGTAGTCATCGAAACGTCACACTCTAATCTTCTACTGGTTGTGTTACAAGATGAAAGTGACTGTGTAGTCATCAAAACGTCACACTCTAATCTTCTACTGGTTGTGTTATAAGATGAAGGTGACCATGTAGTCATCGAAACGTCACTCTAATCTTCTACTGGTTGTGTTATAAGATGAAGGTGACCGTGTAGTCATCGAAACGTCACTCTAATCTTCTACTGGTTGTGTTATAAGATGAAGGTGACCGTGTAGTCATCAAAACGTCACACTCTAATCTTCTACTGGTTGTGTTACAAGATGAAAGTGACTGTGTAGTCATCAAAACGTCACTCTAATCTTCTACTGGTTGTGTTATAAGATGAAGGTGACCGTGTGGTCATCAAAACGTCACACTCTAATCTTCTACTGGTTGTGTTATAAGATGAAGGTGATGGTGTAGTCATCAAAACGTCACACTCTAATCTTCTACTGGTTTTGTTACAAGATGAAAGTGACTGTGTAGTCATCGAAATATCATACTCTAATTTACTGGTTATGCTAAAAGAACTTCTACTGACATTACCAACCTGAAGAAAATGTTACAAAATTTGTATGAGTCCCAACAGATTACTCTATTAGTACAAGACTGAGATGTAGATTTATCATTGAATGCAGTCCCTGTATTGATGATTTTAAAACAATATTTCTGTTTTTTGTAATTAACAGGTGTATGAAGACGATCTATTCACCTTTATTATGTTCTATGTGTATTGGGCAGCCCTGTGCCTACAGTTAATCTTACACTGTATTGCTGAAAAAGTTACACGCCGTGGTTACAACTTAGTTGGAGAGGTCAGTATAGTTACGGTAAACTCTATAGGCAAGAATAAGATTCATTTCTGGTGACAAAGCATATTTATCGGAACTATAATGATATCTGAGGTTTGGAATCACTGAAATTAGATTCTATCTGTCATTTAAAAATTTTTTTGTTTTGACAACATCAGGTAACTCCAACATTACTGCTGCCAATTGTTCCTTCTGCGGTCAGAAGTAAACTTTTGATGAACAATATATTGTACATTCCTCTATGCAATTCATAAGAAAAATTATGTCTAATGAAAATTTATGTTATAAGGGAAAGAAAAATTTTAACTGTGATTTTAATAATTTGGTGATTTTTTTTAACAGAAGCCGTGCCCAGAGATCTCGTCCTCCTTCTTAAGTAGACTGGTGTTTTGGTGGATGAATCCGTAAGTGATTATAAATTATTAAAATATGGGAGATTTTCAGGATTTTATAGTGTTAGTATCAATTATTTTAACTTTTAACTTAATTTCATCAGAGATAAAAAGGAGTAATCTATTTCTATAGAATAGCAGTTCTTGTAACACAACCAGTTAAAGATTAGAGTGTGACGTTTCGATGACTACACAGTCACCTTCATATTATAACACAACCAGTAAAAGATTAGAGTGTGACGTTTCGATGACTACACAGTCACCTTCATCTTACAACACAACCAGTAGAAGATTAGAGTGTGACGTTTCGATGACTACACAGTCACTTTCATCTTATAACAAAACTAGTAGAAGATTAGAGTGTGACAATGACTACATGGTCACCTTCGTCTTATAACACAACCAGTAGAAGATTGTAATGTGACGTTTCAATGACTACCCGATCACCTTCATCAGACAAATGACTTGTGGAGTGCATACTAGCACTGATGTATGTACGAGATGGTTTGGAATCAACAAACATTTTGGCTGTTCTATAAATCCTATTGTACACTAACTTTGAATATAGTGTGACGAAATGGTGAACAGATTACAGACCAAAGATATACAGGATATTAACAATGTTCTGTAGTCACTTTGGCTATGCTTTGTTCAGTCAGTGCTAGTATGCTTCACATTGGTCATTTGTCTGATGAAGGTGACCTTGTAGTCATTGAAACATCACACTCTAATTTTCTGCAGGTTTTGTTATAAGATGAAGGGGACGGTGTAGTCATCAGAACGTCACACTCTAATCTTCTACTGGTTGTGTTATAAGACGAAGGTGATGGTGTAGTCATTGAAACATCACACTCTAATCTTCTACTGGTTGTGTTATAAGATGAAGGTGACTGTGTAGTCATCCAAACGTCACACTCTAATCTTCTACTGGTTGTGTTATAAGATGAAGGTGACGGTGTAGTCATTGAAACATCACACTCTAATTTTCTGCAGGTTTTGTTATAAGATGAAGGTGACTGTGTAGTCATCAAAACGTCACACTCTAATCTTCTACTGGTTGTGTTATAAGATGAAGGTGACCGTGTAGTCATCCAAACGTCACACTCTAATCTTCTACTGGTTGTGTTATAAGATGAAGGTGACCGTGTAGTCATCCAAACGTCACACTCTAATCTTTTACTGGTTGTGTTATAAGATGAAGGTGACGGTGTAGTCATCAAAACGTCACACTCTAATCTTCTACTAGTTGTGTTATAAGATGAAGGTGACCGTGTAGTCATCAAAACATCACACTCTGATCTTCTACTGGTTGTGTTATAAGAACTTTTATTCATTATAAAACTGACGAAAATGATCCAAACATTTTTTTCCGCATTAAACCAACACAAGTGTCTATTTATATTACATTTTGGTGATCAAATATGATTATATCCAAAGTGAATGGACAGGGTTGTTTTGTTTACTCCAAATATTGTATTCATGTTACAATAAGCCCATTCCTAGTGATAAGCCCATTTCTTTTGCTGTTCGGTAAAATTATAAATCAATGCTTATTTATCCATCTGTGATAAGCCAGCCCCCAACTTGGAGTAATCTGTTTAAATACCATAGAAATATATCTTGAAGTGCCTTTTTTTAGATCTTTTTGATATAAAAGAATTCTAATGACAAAATGAAAGCCAACAAGTTAGTTTTACATCATATTCTGATCTTCAAGTTGTGATTTACAATGAGGCGTGTGTTAATAGTGTACATCAGTTGATAAGTATTGTCTAATGACTTTAAATGGAAGACAGTACAGTATATATTAAGGCCTTTCTGTATAGATTGGTGTTGTCTGGGTACAAGAAAGACCTTAAAGAGGATGACATCTGGAACCTGAATCCCCGGGACGCACACACCACTGTCAATCCAAAATTCTCGAAAGCATGGAAGGCGGAGCTTGACAAATGGAAAATTAGAGAGTAAGGTCCTTATTATACAAAAAAGTTTCCAAACATTTCTTCTGTATTATAAGTTTCTAGAATACTTGGATTGTCACCAGTCCACTGTACACAAAGGAAAGGTAGTATATGTTTCTCTTTGTAACGTACCAGTTATTCATGAAAATTATAGTCATTACAAAGTCAAATGTTTTCAGATATTTTAGATAAATATAAAACATACAAACTTTATTTATCTCACAAGTATTTAAAAACAACCTTTAATCATTCTTGTTGGCCTGGATGCAAGCGTGAAAAAGGCAAAAATAGCAAAAGGTTTTGGCAAAGCTGTTATAATCTAGAAGTGAACTTTTGTGTTGTTTTTCAGAAGTACAAGTGTGGTATTTAATCAAGGAGCACACATACAAGAACACCGTAAAGCCTCAGAAAAAACACCACTTCTACGACAAAGAACGCAAACTTCAGAGGTGGAGTTTCACGGAACTAAAGTGGAAAAGAAGAAAAACAAAGCTTCATTGTTCAGGGTGTTAGTTCGAGTCTATGGACTGGATTTCCTGAGAGCTTGGGGCTGTAAATTCCTGTATGATCTTCTCCAGTTTGTTAGTCCCACATTACTGGGGTAAGTCAAGATCTGCAAAGGACACTTTCAAAAACAAATCTTTTATGCTGATGTATGATAAAAATACATAATATTTTGGTGCACACAATTTTTTATAAGGTACCAGATTTCAATAATGATGAATTAGCATAACATAATCTTAATTTAGTGGAGTGTGTTCAGTGCAAAAAATAATTAGAAAATAAGATTACAGTTAAAACAGTTATTCTGGGTTCGAAAGATGCAGGTTGATGCAGGTTGATGAAAATTATGGAGAAGTTTTATGGTTGCCATAGTGATTTTACTGAGAAATATTCTATTTCTTTGTGTGATATAAAGCTGGACGTATTTGATGCTCATTAGTTTGCCTGTTGGATCCCTTGTTGTATACCTTGTTCTTATTTGAGAATGTGACATTACTTACTTGGATTGAGTGTTGTCGATGTAGAAGAAGACGCTTTCTCTTCCGGAACACCTGGTCTTATTCTCCTTGTACTTTTTCAGGAGTCTCCACGTAAATCTTACTTTTGTTTATAATTTGCCCTAGTTGTATTGAATTTGAGTTTGAATTATGATTATGTTGCAATGTTGATGTTTTCTTGATGTTTTTTGTAATAATGCATACCTTCAAGGTATTAATTAAACAATTTTGTTGATAGAACATTGAAGTCCCCCCAATATGCTCACAAGTAATTCAAAGTTTTCATTGAAATTTGATTTTAATTGAAATTGACAAAAGAACTTAGGCAGTGTAGCATTGTCTATACTGTGGAATGTGTTATACTGATTTGATTCTAAGGATGCTTATTTTTGATCAATCATTGATATTTGTAGTTAAATCTTTGGGAAAAAAAACTATTTCAGTCTGTCCTTTCTTGGGATCTAATATATCATGGCCAAAAATTTGACCTTAGTTTTAAGTGAGTTTTGACAATTGGTGATATAAATGTCACAAACATTTTGGTAAGATTTTGTGATGGTCAGTATTCCTGGTATTTCTAAGCTGGATGGATAAAAAATAAGTATACTATCCAGAAATATCAAGGACACAAGTCCTTAATTGTCATTCTTTGTAATTTGTGTTTCTCTTATACTTTATCCAACATTTTTCTGACCTTGAGAATTCATGTTGACCTCTACAGAGTGTTGATAGCCTACACAGACAACAAGGCGAATGAGCAAGCGTGGAAAGGCTATGTCTTCGCTGCATCATTCTTCGTTGTGGCTTTTGTTCAGTCGTTGTGCTTCCATCAAAACTTCCACATCGGTATGACAACTGGAATGCGGATAAGATCGGCTTTGATTACAGCTGTTTATAAAAAGGTAAACAGTAAATGTTGTGTACAAAAATGTTATATTCTCTCAGCTAAAATATTCTAAAAACATTTTGAACTACTTCCACTTCAAGCAACATTTTCTCTGATAAGATCTTCTAAAAAAATTTTTAACAAAGGTATCGAGCTACCTTGAGTTCAAGCAATATTCTCTCAGCTAAAATATTCTAAAAACATTATGAACTACGTTCACTTAAATCAATATTTTGTCAGCTAAGACATTCGGAAAAAGATATTGATTAAAATTATCTAGCTACCTTGAGTTCAAGCAATATTCTCTCTGGTAAATGATAGGCTTCATTGAACTCTGTGTTGGAATTTATATTACATATGAATGCAAACTACAAGATATTCAACAAGTAAATAAACCTTTTTCTGGCCAAGGATTGATAAATTGGAACAAATTTAGGAGTTGAAAAATTTGTTATCATTCTCATTTTTTATACATCAGCTATTCACTGTCAGTTAACCTACCCCGTTTTAGGACTGATATTTGATATGATATATAACACTACATTAAATATGTACATCCATATCAGTATACACAACACATTTACATCATAGAAAACTTACACTTTATATCTATAACTTAAAACTAAAAGCACTATTGTTATGTTAATACTACATAGTATTACTTCTTACATTTTATCAACTCTGGGAATTTGGAAGATAAACTTCAGTGATTAATCTACATGCAAGTCCAAAATTTTGTAATCATAGAATTCTGATGGGACTCGTAGAATTTTGATGGGACACGTAGAATTTTGATGGGACTCCTAGGATTTTTATGGAACACATAGAATTCTGATGGGACACATAGAATTTTGATTGGACACGTAGAATTTTGATGGGACTCCTAGGATTTTGATGGGACACATAGAATTCTGATGGGACACATAGAATTTTGATGGGACTCCTAGGATTTTGATGGGACACATAGAATTTTGATGGGACTCGTAGAATTTTGATGTGACTCCTAGGATTTCGATGGGACTTGTAGAATTTCGATGGGACACGTAGAATTTTGATGGGACTCCTAGGATTTTGATGGGACACATAGAATTTTGATGGGACACGTAGAATTTTGATGGGACACATAGAATTTTGATGGGACCCGTAGAATTTTGATGGGACTCGTAGAATTTTGATGTGACTCATAAATTTATTGAAAATACTTAAACCTTATAAAGTGGGACTCATCTTTTTGGCAATAAAGTTGAAAAGGACCCAATAACACAAAAATAAATTACAAATTGATCCAAGAATTTGCTTTTATTGACTTGAATGATTTATCTCAATGTGCTATATATTTGATCATCATTCAAATTGGAATTGATTTTACTGCAGAGATTGACTTCTGAAAGACTCGAAGTTTTGAGATATTACATAAACTGTATGACTTAAGGAATTCATGAAGACAGCATGAATGTATTTTCTTCTATTAATTTTATACAAATTTGATTTAATCCCCAAAAATAGTAAATACTGCGTATTACACCACTAATAATTGTTTTTTTTCTTACTGTGATAAATGTTTTGGATTCCAGTTTTCCAAAATCTTGGATATTCCACTCTATAAAGCATTGTTGATGGTTTAAAGTGCATCAGCAACAAACTGTGCAAGTGTTGTCTGTAAATTTCAGTCTCTATGTATGAATAGCAAGGCTTAGAAAGAGAAGACTGAATTTCATCAGAAATAAAACTGTACCAGTGTTGTCTGTAAATTTCAGTCACTCTGTATGAATAGTGAGGCTAAGAAACAGAAGACCGTGGGAGAAATTGTCAATCTCATGTCTGTCGACTGTCAGAGGATGCAGGACCTCTCGGGCTACTTGTGGATGTTGTGGTCAGCTCCAGTCCAGATCATTTTGGCCATGTGGCTTTTATGGAATCAGCTGGGACCCTCTGTCCTTGCAGGTCAGTTTCAGCAGTGAGAAATTAAAAATTCTAAGTGTCACATTGAGTAAACAAATACTATCTGTTCTGTTATAAAGTCCTTATTTCTTTCTCTTTGAGTAAACAAATACTATCTGTTTTGTAATAAATCCTCATTTCTTGCTCTTTGAGTAAACAAATACTATCTGTTCTGTTATAAAGTCCTCATTTCTTGTACTATCTGTTCTGTAATAAATCCTCATTTCTTGTTCTTTGAGTTTGAGTAAACAAATACTATCTGTTCTGTATAAATAAAACAAATACTATCTGTTCTGTAATAAATCCTCATTTCTTGTTCTTTGAGTAAACAAATACTATCTGTTTTGTAATAAATCCTCATTTCTTGTTCTTTGAGTAAACAAATACTATCTGTTCTGTAATAAATCCTCATTTCTTGCTCTTTGAGTAAACAAATACTATCTGTTCTGTAATAAATCCTCATTTCTTGCTCTTTGAGTAAACAAATACTATCTGTTCTGTTATAAAGTCCTGTTTTGATAAACAAATACTATCTGTTCTGTAATAAATCCTCATTTCTTTCTCTTTGAGTAAACAAATACTATCTGTTCTGTAATAAATCCTCATTTCTTTCTCTTTTTCTTGAGTAAACAAATACTATCTGTTTTGTAATAAATCCTCATTTCTTGCTCTTTGAGTAAACAAATACTATCTGTTCTGTTATAAAGTCCTCATTTCTTGTTCTTTGAGTAAACAAATACTATCTGTTCTGTTATAAAGTCCTCATTTCTTGTTCTTTGAGTAAACAAATACTATCTGTTCTGTAATAAATCCTCATTTCTTTCTCTTTGAGTAAACAAATACTATCTGTTCTGTAGTAAACAAATACTATCTGTTCTGTAATAAATCCTCATTTCTTGTTATTTGATTAAACAAATACTTTCTGTTTTGTAATAAATCCTCATTTCTTGTTCTTTGAGTAAACAAATACTATCTGTTCTGTTATAAAGTCCTCATTTCTTTCTCTTTGAGTAAACAAATACTATCTGTTCTGTAATCCTCATTTCTTTCTCTTTGAGTAAACAAATACTATCTGTTCTGTTATAAATCCTCATTTCTTTCTCTTTGAGTAAACAAATACTATCTGTTTTGTAATAAATCCTCATTTCTTGCTCTTTGAGTAAACAAATACTATCTGTTCTGTAATAAATCCTCATTTCTTGTTCTTTGAGTAAACAAATACTATCTGTTCTGTTATAAAGTCCTCATTTCTTTCTCTTTGAGTAAACAAATACTATCTGTTCTGTAATAAATCCTCATTTCTTGTTCTTTGAGTAAACAAATACTATCTGTTCTGTAATAAATCCTCATTTCTTGTTCTTTGAGTAAACAAATACTATCTGTTTTGTAATAAATCCTCATTTCTTGCTCTTTGAGTAAACAAATACTATCTGTTCTGTAATAAATCCTCATTTCTTTCTCTTTGAGTAAACAAATACCATCTGTTCTGTTATAAAGTCCTCATTTCTATGTTCTTCATTTCTTGTAAAACAAATACTATCTGTTTTGTAATAAATCCTCATTTCTTGCTCTTTGAGTAAACAAATACATTTCTTTCTCTTTGAGTAAACAAATACTATCTGTTCTGTATAAATCCTCATTTCTTTCTCTTTGAGTAAACAAATACTATCTGTTCTGTAATAAATCCTCATTTCTTGTTCTTTGAGTAAACAAATACTATCTGTTCTGTATAAATCCTATTTCTTGTTCTTTGAGTAAACAAATACTATCTGTTTTGTAATAAATCCTCATTTCTTGCTCTTTGAGTAAACAAATACTATCTGTTCTGTTATAAAGTCCTCATTTCTTGTTCTTTGAGTAAACAAATACTATCTGTTCTGTAATAAATCCTCATTTCTTGTTCTTTGAGTAAACAAATACTATCTGTTCTGTAATAAATCCTCATTTCTTTCTCTTTGAGTAAACAAATACTATCTGTTTTGTAATAAATCCTCATTTCTTTCTCTTTGCTTTGTCTTTTAAATGGCATGTGATTGATCACCTGTCATATTTGATGGAAAATCCTGATGTCCGATATATTATTGTGTATTGTATCATGCATGTTTAGATTTTCTAAACCAGAGATAACTAAAATTTTGTGATATAAAATTTCCATGAGTATGACACAGAGTTTATATTGTAAGGATTTACATAATACGGCTCGATATTGAAGTATTGGGGCTCCTATTTCTCATTTAACAACACTGATATATATTTGAAATGTTATTGATATAATAGATATAAAAAATGTATGAGTATGACACAGAGTTTCAGGGCCATACTTAGCTTTGATTCAAATATGAGGTGAAGTGTGTTGTGGTTTTGTCGCAGGTGTGGTATTTTATTTAAAGGTTTAAGGGTCAGATATGAAGTGAAGTGTGTTGTGGTTTTGTCACAGGTGTGGTAATTTATTTAAAGGTTTAAGGGTCAGATATGAAGTGAAGTGTGTTGTGGTTTTGTCACAGGTGTGGTATTTTATTTTAAAGGTTTAAGGGTCAGATATGAAATGAAGTGTTTTGTGGTTTTGACTCTGATGTGGTATTTACAGATCTAGGGGTCAGATATGAGGTGAAGTGTGTTGTGGTTTTGTCTCAGGTGTGGTATTCTACTTACAGATCTAGGGGTGTTGTAGTTTTGTCTCAGGTGTGGTATTTTATTTACAGATCTAGGGGTGTTGTAGTTTTGTCTCAGGTGTGGTATTTTATTTAAAGGTTTAAGGGTCAGATATGAAATGAAGTGTTTTGTGGTTTTGACTCTGATGTGGTATTTACAGATCTAGGGGTCAGATATGAGGTGAAGTGTGTTGTGGTTTTGTCTCAGGTGTGGTATTCTACTTACAGATCTAGGGGTGTTGTAGTTTTGTCTCAGGTGTGGTATTTTATTTACAGATCTAGGGGTGTTGTAGTTTTGTCTCAGGTGTGGTATTTTATTTACAGGTCTAGGGGTGTTGTAGTTTTGTCTCAGGTGTGGTATTCCATTTACAGGTCTAGGGGTGATGATCCTACTTATTCCACTCAACATGTTCATCTCTATTAAACAAAGAGCACTTCAAGTGAACCTGATGAAACTCAAAGACAAAAGACTCAAACTTATGAGTGAAGTTCTCAACGGTATGAAGGTAAGACAAAATGATGATTCTGGACAATAGATTGTCTGATGAGCACCACCTTGTTGTTATACTGCTGGTGGTGTTGTGAAATAACATTGTGATTTAAGGACTGTTCCAACGATTCTAAGACAGCTACACCAGGAGGGCCTTGTACCTCTTTAAAACTCATAATCAGCTCTCGGTTATTGTGTGACTCCTGAGCAAAACAAACATTTCTACCTGTCGATGTGTCTGTCTGGACAGTGTTGTAATATAATGCTGACCTATCACTCATTTACAACACTCAGTACACTTTTTGTTTAGTACAAGCAAGGACTGATCTCAGGTCGACTTTTTTTCTAAGTTTTTGCTTCCAGTACTTTAAGCCGTTTCACAAGTTCTATCCAGGATAAATAGGTTATTAAAATAAAACAAAAAGAATCAGATAAATGTTCTGTATTTTTATTAAATTTACTTTGTTTACAAAATTTCCCACCCTTATCCCTAGCCTTAGTCTTGTGATAAGCAAACACATTTCAAAACACCAAGGTGTAATGTTAACCCCAAAACCTCCATATTTTATAACAAGAAATGGAAGACCAGACATTGGAAAGAATGATGTAGTAGAACAGTTGATCTACGTATTTTTTGCCGGAGATCTCCCCTTTTATGTTTTGGCTTATCTCCCCTTTTACACTATGCATTAGTGTGATCGGGTGGTGCAGTAGTAACACTTGCCTTTCACCAAGCAGTCCGTGGTTCGATTCCCAGAAGGGATATGAAAAGATATGGGATCACCTGCCCGACCACGTGGGTTTTCCCTCGGTACTTGGGTTTCCTCCCACAGTAAGACCCACATAGCAAAATTATTGTAAATTCTAATTTTAATACACTATGCATTTTTATCCTTGTTTTCAGGTCCTGAAACTTTATGCCTGGGAACCATCTTTTCAAGAAAAAATTTTGGAACTAAGAAATAAAGAATTGGACATTCTCAAGAAATATGCGTATCTGCAGGCGTTTAGTACATTTTCTTTCACGTGTGCCCCGTTTTTGGTGAGTAAAAAGTTAACAGTGAAACAATAATACTGGATTATATCTTGTATGTTGATAAATGAAAGAAAGTCAGGGTAACACTCTTCTACATAGAAAACACTCACAACAGAAGTATGCTTCTTTAAAGGAGAAAGTTGAATAAGATAGGATATTTGAGCAAAGTTTTGTTTTTTTTTGAGATTTAGATCTGCTAGTTGCTATCTTTCTTTAAAGAATTTCAATCTTTCTACACGACAGTTTTAGCTTGGAAAAGTGCGCACTATACGCAGAAATTTACGGTATTATCCCTTGTATATGAAAATTTTAATAGCAGTGGTGGATTTTTTTTTTCAAAAATTTTCATTTGCAACATACTATATACCAATTATTGTCCCCAAAATTCTGTGAAAATTATTCTTTCAAGAAGACAAAATTGTGAGACAAATTTTCACCAGGCATTCTACAGATTTAGGTTATTATATTAAAAATATGTAAATTTAAAGCAAATTTTCAACTCCAGTTGAGTCATCTTTATTTTAGCAGGACTTCCTTATTCTCATAATATTGTGAATCATTTATTGCTCACATCAGATATTAGATAGTGGAATGCATAAAAAAATGTTATATTAACAGGAAAGTGACATTAACCGACATGACATTAAGAGGTTAAATCATTTCCTCTGTTAAATGAAGTAAAATTTTAGTGATATGATAATTTCTGTTTTTCCTCTAAAGGTAACCTTGGCAACATTTGCAACATATATCTTGGCCTCTAATGAACACTACTTGGACGCTGGGAAAGCATTTGTGTCTTTGTCGCTGTTCAACATTTTGCGCTTCCCAATCAACCTTCTACCCATGATGGTATCCTATATTGTACAGGTGAGATCCTTATATATCATACCTGTGTTAATTGTCCTATATTGTACAGGTGACATCCTTGTTAATTGTCCTATATTGTACAGGTGAGATCCTTGTTAATTGTCCTATATTGTACAGGTGAGATCCTTGTTAATTGTCCTATATTGTACAGGTGACATCCTTGTTAATTATCCTATATTGTACAGGTGACATCCTTGTTAAATGTCCTATATTGTACAGGTGACATCCTTGATAAATGTCCTGTATTGTACAGGTGAGATCCTTGTTAATTGGCCTATATTGTACAGGTGAGATCCTTGTTAATTGTCCTATATTGTACAGGTGACATCCTTGTTAAATGTCCTATATTGTACAGGTGACATCCTTGTTAAATGTCCTATATTGTACAGGTGACATCCTTGATAAATGTCCTGTATTGTACAGGTGAGATCCTTGTTAATTGTCCTATATTGTACAGGTGAGATCCTTGTTAATTGTCCTATATTGTACAGGTGAGATCCTGCCTGTATTTTCTTTAATTTCCAAATTTGGTTTAGATAATGAAATCCAATTAAAATCTGTTCATTTCCTGTGTTTTGCACAAGGTACCTCACTAAGTAAAAAAATAAACATGTTTTGTATAAAAAAAAAGGTAGATAACCCACACTACCCTATTGCCAGGGCCCATGTGAATATCTTTTTATTGTTAGCACAGTATATCTTTAGAAGCATTTTCCTTGATTCTGTTGTAGTACATGTTTATGTACCTGCTCATAGTTTATAATTCTGTTTCTCATAAACAATTCATGGCTTTGGAAAAAAAAATCATCAAAATTTGACATTATGTGAATTTTCTTTTTTCCATCAGGCAAATGTCTCCATTGGTAGAATTGCTGATTTCCTGAAAATGGGTGATCTAGACCCAGAAAATGTCCAACATAATCGATCAGGTAAAATCTCACAAATAACTCAATCACCATTATGTATATATAACACGGATGATAGCATTACTGGTTTCTGTATAGTTTGATTGTTTTGTGTAGTAATTGGTTTGTGAGACATCAGCTAACAGAGACTTTGATTATCATTAATGATATGTATATGTTTAAGTTAAAAGAAGTTACATTTTCTATCCCAATACACATCATGAACAGTCGTAGAGAAATTGTCTCCCCTAATTAGTGATTACTTAACTAGGTACAAGTCAGTATAATCAACAAATATGCAAGTTTGAAATCGAGATTTTCATCATGTTCAAATATTCAAACATCACAGGGCTGTTTGAAATCGAGATTTTCATCATGTTCAAATATTCAAACATCACGGGGCTGTTTGAAATCGAGATTTTCATCATGTTCAAATATTTGTCTGTGTCACCACAGTATCATACCATTATGTTCTAATCCATATCAGAATCTGGTTTGCATAGGCGTTATGGCATTTTTTATGAACGTGTTGAAAAACAATTAAAAAATTGAAAAAATACTTGATGAAAGTAATACATATCTATATAGGTGACAAATTTGCTAATCTGCCTGTTTTTACTTTAACAAAAGATTCTCCCAAAGTATTATTCATTTATTAGTAATTTTTATGCAAAGGTCGACCAAAGGTCATCAAAATCTTGTTGTCGTCCTACTTTTTCAATGCTCATTTCTGATTGGTCAACAAAATGTAAGTTTACTCAAAGGCCATCTGTTGGGGCTGTATAAAACTAGAATGAATCTATTACCACCACTTATAATCTGGTGTTTGGTGTATATTCAAAACGGGTTGGATGGTGCAATGGTAACACACTCGCCTTTCACCTAGCCATCTGGGGTTTGATTCCCGAAACGGATGTGAGAAGGCATGGGGTCACCTGCCCGACCACGTAGGTTTTCCTATGGTACTCCAGTGTTCCTCCAACAGTAAGGCCCCTTGTGCACTTCTATCCTAGCCAACAAGAGTGATTGATTTAAGTTGGAAAAACTTACTTCGCAATTGTGGTAAAAAAAATTGACAATCATCCTCAATACATCAGGGGTTCCCATCACTTTCACTTTCTTCAAGCAGAACTAAAACATCAATAGATCAACATGCTGTGTCGATTAGTGAATGAAAGTGCGTCAAAAAGGATCATTAATAACGGCAGATTTTAATTTTTTTATGGTCAAATTTGTGCTATTAATTCCTTATTTTTATAACCTAGTTTAGTATGGAGTCATTCCTCATGATATCTAAACTTTAATTTAATTCATATGATTGGAGTGTTGAAATGTTCACAAGTTTATATCAGCTTTCCTATCCTTTCTTAGACTCTGCGGCCATTGTGATCAAAGATGGAACTTTTACCTGGGATGAAAATTTAACACCAGCCCTGAGAGGGTAAGAATGCTCTGTTTACTCTAACTACAGTAGTGTCAATCATATGGCTCTGTAATGTCATATCTATAATGTATTGAGGGAGAGGGGGGGGGTCTTGTCAGAGATGTTCAGGTATATATTTCTTTGTGATAGCACTATAATGTCAGCTTCAGTTTAGTACTGTCACATGGAGGGCTACACACTTGCCCAAACTCCTGGACCATATTGTGCACTGTAATGTATTGTTAGTCTGAATTACACTCTTGGCTAAAGATTTTATCACAAGGCTTGTTTGTATTTCAGCATCAATCTCACTGCAGATGTGGGTAAATTAATTGCAGTGGTCGGACAGGTTGGTTGTGGAAAATCCTCACTGATTTCATCCATACTGGGAGATATGGAGAAACTCCGAGGGCGAGTCAATGTCAAGGTCAGTAGTAATCAGTTTAAAGTGGCTGATATACCTGGTAATAATGATGAACTTTATAACATAAATACCCTGTTATTAGTGTAATTATGTTCATTATATATACTGTGTTGGGACCACAGGTGTAATGATACCTATCTGATCTTTGATTGGTTGAAAGTTTAAATTGTATCCATTGTGACATAGGGACTTACATTAATAACATCTCCAAAGGAAGAGATATTAAGAGAGAATATCATCATTTATGATGCTGTTTTCAAAATTTTCATGACGATATCCTGTTAATGCGATAAATAGAATCTTACATTTGTTATTTCATTTTATGATAGGGGATGTATTAACCTTGCTTGGTAAAATTGTTTTTATTTTTATAATAGTGGTTCGTTTTATAAATCATGTTTGATATGGAAACTCCTGTCATGTCGTGTTATATAATGTATATCTATATCCTGTCATGTCGTGTTATATAATGTAAATCTGTATCTCTATATCCTGTCATGTCGTGTTATATAATGTAAATCTGTATCTCTATATCCTGTCATGTCGTGTTATATAATGTAAATCTATATCCTGTCATGTCGTGTTATATAATGTAAATCTGTATCTCTATATCCTGTCATGTCGTGTTATATAATGTAAATCTGTATCTCTATATCCTGTCATGTCGTGTTATATAATGTAAATCTGTATATCTATATCCTGTCATGTCGTGTTATATAATGTAAATCTGTATCTCTATATCCTGTCATGTCGTGTTATATAATGTAAATCTGTATATCTATATCCTGTCATGTCGTGTTATATAATGTAAATCTGTATCTCTATATCCTGTCATGTCGTGTTATATAATGTAAATCTGTATCTCTATATCCTGTCATGTCGTGTTATATAATGTAAATCTGTATCTCTATATCCTGTCATGTCGTGTTATATAATGTAAATCTGTATCTCTATATCCTGTCATGTCGTGTTATATAATGTAAATCTGTATCTCTATATCCTGTCATGTCGTGTTATATAATGTAAATCTGTATCTCTATATCCTGTCATGTCGTGTTATATAATGTAAATCTGTATCTCTATATCCTGTCATGTCGTGTTATATAATGTAAATCTGTATCTCTATATCCTGTCATGTCGTGTTATATAATGTAAATCTGTATCTCTATATCCTGTCATGTCGTGTTATATAATGTAAATCTGTATCTCTATATCCTGTCATGTCGTGTTATATAATGTAAATCTGTATCTCTATATCCTGTCATGTCGTGTTATATAATGTAAATCTGTATCTCTATATCCTGTCATGTCGTGTTATATAATGTAAATCTGTATCTCTATATCCTGTCATGTCGTGTTATATAATGTAAATCTGTATCTCTATATCCTGTCATGTCGTGTTATATAATGTAAATCTGTATCTCTATATCCTGTCATGTCGTGTTATATAATGTAAATCTGTATCTCTATATCCTGTCATGTCGTGTTATATATAATGTAAATCTGTATCTCTATATCCTGTCATGTCGTGTTATATAATGTAAATCTGTATATCTATATCCTGTCATGTCGTGTTATATAATGTAAATCTGTATCTCTATATCCTGTCATGTCGTGTTATATAAATCTGTATCTCTATATCTTGTCAAGTCGTGTTATATAATGTAAATCTGTATCTCTATATCCTGTCATGTCGTGTTATATAATGTAAATCTGTATCTCTATATCCTGTCATGTCGTGTTATATAATGTAAATCTGTATCTCTATATCCTGTCATGTCGTGTTATATAATGTAAATCTGTATCTCTATATCCTGTCATGTCGTGTTATATAATGTAAATCTGTATCTCTATATCCTGTCATGTCGTGTTATATAATGTAAATCTGTATCTCTATATCCTGTCATGTCGTGTTATATAATGTAAATCTGTATCTCTATATCCTGTCATGTCGTGTTATATAATGTAAATCTGTATCTCTATATCCTGTCATGTCGTGTTATATAATGTAAATCTGTATCTCTATATCCTGTCATGTCGTGTTATATAATGTAAATCTGTATCTCTATATCCTGTCATGTCGTGTTATATAATGTAAATCTGTATCTCTATATCCTGTCATGTCATGTTATATAATGTAAATCTGTATCTCTATATCCTGTCATGTCGTGTTATATAATGTAAATCTGTATCCTGTCATGTCGTGTTATATAATGTAAATCTGTATCTCTATATCCTGTCATGTCGTGTTATATAATGTAAATCTGTATCTCTATATCCTGTCATGTCGTGTTATATAATGTAAATCTGTATCTCTATATCCTGTCATGTCGTGTTATATAATGTAAATCTGTATCTCTATATCCTGTCATGTCGTGTTATATAATGTAAATCTGTATCTCTATATCCTGTCATGTCGTGTTATATAATGTAAATCTGTATCTCTATATCCTGTCATGTCGTGTTATATAATGTAAATCTGTATCTCTATATCCTGTCATGTCGTGTTATATAATGTAAATCTGTATCTCTATATCCTGTCATGTCGTGTTATATAATGTAAATCTGTATCTCTATATCCTGTCATGTCGTGTTATATAATGTAAATCTGTATCTCTATATCCTGTCATGTCGTGTTATATAATGTAAATCTGTATCTCTATATCCTGTCATGTCGTGTTATATAATGTAAATCTGTATCTCTATATCCTGTCATGTCGTGTTATATAATGTAAATCTGTATCTCTATATCCTGTCATGTCGTGTTATATAATGTAAATCTGTATCTCTATATCCTGTCATGTCGTGTTATATAATGTAAATCTGTATCTCTATATCCTGTCTTGTCATGTTATATAATGTAAATCTGTATCTCTATATCCTGTCATGTCGTGTTATATAATGTAAATCTGTATCTCTATATCCTGTCATGTCGTGTTATATAATGTAAATCTGTATCTCTATATCCTGTCATGTCGTGTTATATAATGTAAATCTGTATCTCTATATCCTGTCATGTCGTGTTATATAATGTAAATCTGTATCTCTATATCCTGTCATGTCGTGTTATATAATGTAAATCTGTATCTCTATATCCTGTCATGTCGTGTTATATAATGTAAATCTGTATCTCTATATCCTGTCATGTCGTGTTATATAATGTAAATCTGTATCTCTATATCCTGTCATGTCGTGTTATATAATGTAAATCTGTATCTCTATATCCTGTCATGTCGTGTTATATAATGTAAATCTGTATCTCTATATCCTGTCATGTCGTGTTATATAATGTAAATCTGTATCTCTATATCCTGTCATGTCGTGTTATATAATGTAAATCTGTATCTCTATATCCTGTCATGTCGTGTTATATAATGTAAATCTGTATCTCTATATCCTGTCATGTCGTGTTATATAATGTAAATCTGTATCTCTATATCCTGTCATGTCGTGTTATATAATGTAAATCTGTATCTCTATATCCTGTCATGTCGTGTTATATAATGTAAATCTGTATCTCTATATCCTGTCATGTCGTGTTATATAATGTAAATCTGTATCTCTATATCCTGTCATGTCGTGTTATATAATGTAAATCTGTATCTCTATATCCTGTCATGTCGTGTTATATAATGTAAATCTGTATCTCTATATCCTGTCATGTCGTGTTATATAATGTAAATCTGTATCTCTATATCCTGTCATGTCGTGTTATATAATGTAAATCTGTATCTCTATATCCTGTCATGTCGTGTTATATAATGTAAATCTGTATCTCTATATCCTGTCATGTCGTGTTATATAATGTAATATAATGTAAATCTCTGTATCTCTATATCCTGTCATGTCGTGTTATATAATGTAAATCTGTATCTCTATATCCTGTCATGTCGTGTTATATAATGTAAATCTGTATCTCTATATCCTGTCATGTCGTGTTATATAATGTAAATCTGTATCTCTATATCCTGTCATGTCGTGTTATATAATGTAAATCTGTATCTCTATATCCTGTCATGTCGTGTTATATAATGTAAATCTGTATCTCTATATCCTGTCATGTCGTGTTATATAATGTAAATCTGTATCTCTATATCCTGTCATGTCGTGTTATATAATGTAAATCTGTATCTCTATATCCTGTCATGTCGTGTTATATAATGTAAATCTATATTCTGTCATGTCGTGTTATATAATGTAAATCTGTATCTCTATATCCTGTCATGTCGTGTTATATAATGTAAATCTGTATCTCTATATCCTGTCATGTCGTGTTATATAATGTAAATCTGTATCTCTATATCCTGTCATGTCGTGTTATATAATGTAAATCTGTATCTCTATATCCTGTCATGTCGTGTTATATAATGTAAATCTGTATCTCTATATCCTGTCATGTCGTGTTATATAATGTAAATCTATATCCTGTCATGTCGTGTTATATAATGTAAATCTGTATCTCTATATCCTGTCATGTCGTGTTATATAATGTAAATCTGTATCTCTATATCCTGTCATGTCGTGTTATATAATTTAAATCTGTATCCTGTCATGTCGTGTTATATAATGTAAATCTGTATCTCTATATCCTGTCATGTCGTGTTATATAATGTAAATCTGTATCTCTATATATCCTGTCATGTCGTGTTATATAATGTAAATCTGTATCTCTATATCCTGTCATGTCGTGTTATATAATGTAAATCTGTATCTCTATATCCTGTCATGTCGTGTTATATAATGTAAATCTGTATCTCTATATCCTGTCATGTCGTGTTATATAATGTAAATCTGTATCTCTATATCCTGTCATGTCGTGTTATATAATGTAAATCTGTATCTCTATATCCTGTCATGTCGTGTTATATAATGTAAATCTGTATCTCTATATCCTGTCATGTCGTGTTATATAATGTAAATCTGTATCTCTATATCCTGTCATGTCGTGTTATATAATGTAAATCTGTATCTCTGTATCCTGTCATGTCGTGTTATATAATGTAAATCTGTATCTCTATATCCTGTCATGTCGTGTTATATAATGTAAATCTGAATCTATATCCTGTCATGTCGTGTTATATAATGTAAATCTGTATCTCTATATCCTGTCATGTCGTGTTATATAATGTAAATCTGTATCCTGTCATGTCGTGTTATATAATGTAAATCTGTATCTCTATATCCTGTCATGTCGTGTTATATAATGTAAATCTGTATCTCTATATCCTGTCATGTCGTGTTATATAATGTAAATCTGTATCTCTATATCCTGTCATGTCGTGTTATATAATGTAAATCTGTATCCTGTCATGTCGTGTTATATAATGTAAATCTGTATCTCTATATCCTGTCATGTCGTGTTATATAATGTAAATCTGTATCTCTATATCCTGTCATGTCGTGTTATATAATGTAAATCTGTATCTCTATATCCTGTCATGTCGTGTTATATAATGTAAATCTGTCGTGTTATATAATGTAAATCTGTATCTCTATATCCTGTCATGTCGTGTTATATAATGTAAATCTGTATCTCTATATCCTGTCATGTCGTGTTATATAATGTAAATCTGTATCTCTATATCCTGTCATGTCGTGTTATATAATGTAAATCTGTATCTCTATATCCTGTCATGTCGTGTTATATAATGTAAATCTAAATCTGTTATATAATGTAAATCTATATCCTGTCATGTCGTGTTATATAATGTAAATCTGTATCTCTATATCCTGTCATGTCGTGTTATATAATGTAAATCTGTATCTCTATATCCTGTCATGTCGTGTTATATAATGTAAATCTGTATCTCTATATCCTGTCATGTCGTGTTATATAATGTAAATCTGTATCTCTATATCCTGTCATGTCGTGTTATATAATGTAAATCTGTATCTCTATATCCTGTCATGTCGTGTTATATAATGTAAATCTGTATCTCTATATCCTGTCATGTCGTGTTATATAATGTAAATCTGTATCTCTATATCCTGTCATGTCGTGTTATATAATGTAAATCTGTATCTCTATATCCTGTCATGTCGTGTTATATAATGTAAATCTGTATCTCTATATCCTGTCATGTCGTGTTATATAATGTAAATCTGTATCTCTATATCCTGTCATGTCGTGTTATATAATGTAAATCTGTATCTCTATATCCTGTCATGTCGTGTTATATAATGTAAATCTGTATCTCTATATCCTGTCATGTCGTGTTATATAATGTAAATCTGTATCTCTATATCCTGTCATGTCGTGTTATATAATGTAAATCTGTATCTCTATATCCTGTCATGTCGTGTTATATAATGTAAATCTGTATCTCTATATCCTGTCATGTCGTGTTATATAATGTAAATCTGTATCTCTATATCCTGTCATGTCGTGTTATATAATGTAAATCTGTATCTCTATATCCTGTCATGTCGTGTTATATAATGTAAATCTGTATCTCTATATCCTGTCATGTCGTGTTATATAATGTAAATCTGTATCTCTATATCCTGTCATGTCGTGTTATATAATGTAAATCTGTATCTCTATATCCTGTCATGTCGTGTTATATAATGTAAATCTGTATCTCTATATCCTGTCATGTCGTGTTATATAATGTAAATCTGTATCTCTATATCCTGTCATGTCGTGTTATATAATGTAAATCTATATCCTGTCATGTCGTGTTATATAATGTAAATCTGTATCTCTATATCCTGTCATGTCGTGTTATATAATGTAAATCTGTATCTCTATATCCTGTCATGTCGTGTTATATAATGTAAATCTGTATCTCTATATCCTGTCATGTCGTGTTATATAATGTAAATCTGTATCTCTATATCCTGTCATGTCGTGTTATATAATGTAAATCTGTATCTCTATATCCTGTCATGTTGTGTTATATAATGTAAATCTGTATCTCTCATGTCGTGTTATATATGTGTCATGTCGTGTTATATAATGTAAATCTGTATCTCTATATCCTGTCATGTCGTGTTATATAATGTAAATCTGTATCTCTATATCCTGTCATGTCGTGTTATATAATGTAAATCTGTATCTCTATATCCTGTCATGTCGTGTTATATAATGTAAATCTGTATCCTGTCATGTCGTGTTATATAATGTAAATCTGTATCTCTATATCCTGTCATGTCGTGTTATATAATGTAAATCTGTATCTCTATATCCTGTCATGTCGTGTTATATAATGTAAATCTGTATCTCTATATCCTGTCATGTCGTGTTATATAATGTAAATCTGTATCTCTATATCCTGTCATGTCGTGTTATATAATGTAAATCTGTATCTGTTATATAATGTAAATCTATATCCTGTCATGTCGTGTTATATAATGTAAATCTGTATCTCTATATCCTGTCATGTCGTGTTATATAATGTAAATCTGTATCTCTATATCCTGTCATGTCGTGTTATATAATGTAAATCTGTATCTCTATATCCTGTCATGTCGTGTTATATAATGTAAATCTGTATCTCTATATCCTGTCATGTCGTGTTATATAATGTAAATCTGTATCTCTATATCCTGTCATGGGACCAATCTGCAAGTTTACTACAATCTCTACAGTGTCACCAGATCTAGTAATGTACCATATCTGATCCTGCATCTTCCTGTTGAATTAAGACTTAAAAATATAGCCAGTTTACAAAGAAAATTTGTGAACAACGCATTTAAAATGAATTTGTTTAAGAAAAAATAGCCAAAATATTTCACAATTTCCATAAATGTCAAGGTACATGATATACATATAAGTTAGATTAAGAAGGGGTGTGTAGTAGGACCAGATCTGAATTTAGACGGAGTCAGAATTAGGCAGACAGTGACTGTACAATACCAGCAGTACATGATATACATATAAGTTATATTAAGAAGGGGTGTGTAGTAGGACCAGATCTGAATTTAGACAGGGGTCAGAATTAGGCAGTAGTGACTGTACAATACCAGCAGTACATGATATACATGTAAGTTATATTAAGAAGGGGTGTGTTATAGGACCAGATCTGAAGTTAGACAGAGGTCAGAACTAGGCAGGCAGTGACTGTACAATACCAGCAGTACATGATATACATGTAAGTTATATTAAGAAGGGGTGTGTAGTAGGACCAGATGTGAATTTAGACAGGGGTCAGAATTAGGCAGGCAGTGACTGTACAATACCAGCAGTACATGATATACATATAAGTTATATTAAGAAGGGGTGTGTAGTAGGACCAGATCTGAAGTAAGACAGGGGTCAGAATTAGGCAGACAGTGACTGTACAATACCAATAGTACAAGATATACATATACGTAAGAAGGGATGTGTTATAGGACCAGATCTGAAGTAAGACAGGGGTCAGAACTAGGCAGACAGTGACTGTACAATACCAGCAGTACATGATATACATAAAAGTTATATTAAGAAGGGATGTGTAGTAGGACCAGATCTGAAGTTAAACAGGGGTCAGAATTAGGCAGACAGTGACTGTACAATACCAATAGTACAAGATATACATATACGTAAGAAGGGATGTGTTATAGGACCAGATCTGAAGTAAGACAGGGGTCAGAACTAGGCAGACAGTGACTGTACAATACCAGCAGTACATGATATACATAAAAGTTATATTAAGAAGGGATGTGTAGTAGGACCAGATCTGAAGTTAAACAGGGGTCAGAACTAGGCAGGCAGTGACTGTACAATACCAGCAGTATTTACATTCTTTTTCACTGATATGTTACTAATGTGGTTCACTAAAGTAGTCCGATCACATCAATTAATATCAATATAAATCAATCAGTTGGTTTGTAAACATGGTTCCCATCTTTAATTTTATGAAATATATTGATCAGTTACAAAGTTACAAATGATATACATATTTATAAGAAAGTATAGTAAGAGTGATTTACACTGAAACATTACACAATTTTCTAACCTGACAGGGGTCGGTAGCATACGTCCCACAACAAGCTTGGATCCAGAATGCCACTGTACAGGACAACATCCTGTTTGGGTCCGAAATGAATCAATGTACATATGATGATGTCCTTGATGCATGTGCCCTTCGTCCTGACCTTGAGATCCTCACAGCAGGAGACATGACAGAAATTGGAGAGAAGGTATAACAGTGTAATTGTTTAATAAGATTCTATAATGAAAAAAAATGTGAAATTTTGATAACTGATTTCAGTTGTGTAGGTACTGACTGTTTTATCTCCAATAACAGGGTATAAACTTGAGTGTTGATCTTTTTTTTTCACAGGTTTTAAGGTTGAGTGTTGATCTTTTTTAACATGTGATAAATTATAGTGTTGATCTTTTTAAAAGGGTAAAAAATTGAGTGTTGATCTTTTTTAACAGGGTATAAATTATTGTGTTGATATTTTTTAACAGGGTATAAATTTGAGTGGAGGCCAGAAACAGAGAGTAAGTCTGGCCAGAGCTGTGTATAACAATGCCGACATATACTTACTTGATGATCCTCTCAGTGCTGTCGACTCACACGTAGGCAAACACATTTTCCAGAAAGTTGTCGGAAGTAAGGGATTACTTCGAAACAAGGTAAATGACAAGTATTTATCTGTATCCTGAACCCTTATTTGTCCAAATACCATGCTTTTATCCTGAACATAAAATTTATTTCAACCTTGTGTAGTTAAATGGGATAATTAGTGATTACTTTGTGTTTTTTGCATTCTCTTTAAATGCAAACCTTTCACAGGTTAAGTTGATATTGTCACAGATACAGTCCTGACAAGTGGACGAAATGCTATTATTAATGTTGAAATAATGGCAAAAGTTTCAGGACAATGTATGATTATACAATGGACTCTGTCTCAACTGGATTCTGTTTAATCCAGATATCTGCCTAATCCGGTCAAATAATTAAGTCCCAATTCCAACAATATTATAACAATGGACTCTGTGCAATCCAGAACTCTCTACAAACCAGCCAAATTATTCTATCCTAAAGGTGTGCAGTTTAATCAGATTCCGCTGTATTTCAGTTACACAGTTCTAATAAATGGCTATAACAATTCTTTAAAATATACCAAATATTATTAAAGTATACTTCCTGTAGCAGTGTGCTTCCTGTATACCTCCTGTAGCAGTGTGCTTTCAGTATACTTACTGTAGCAGTGTGCTTCCTGTAGCAGTGTGCTTCCTGTATACTTCCTGTAGCAGTGTGCTTCCTGTATACCTCCTGTAGCAGTGTGCTTTCAGTATACTTACTGTAGAAGTGTGCTTCCTGTAGCAGTGTGCTTCCTGTATACCTGCTGTAGCAGTGTGCTTTCAGTATACTTACTGTAGAATTAAGTGTGCTTCCTGTAGCAGTGTGCTTCCTGTATACTTCCTGTAGCAGTGTGCTTCCTGTATAATTCCTGTAGCAGTGAGCTTCCTGTAGCAGTGTGCATCCTGTATACTTCCTGTAGCAGTGTGCTTCCTGTATACTTCCTGTAGAAGTGTGCTTCCTGTAGCAGTGTGCTTCCTGTATACTTCCTGTAGAAATGTACTTCCTGTATACTTCTGTAGAAGTGTGCTTCCTGTAGAAGTGTGCTTCCTGTATACTTTCTGTAGAAGTGTGCTTTCTGTATACTTCCTGTAGCAGTGTGTTTCATGTATACTTCCTGTAGAAATATGCTTCCTGTAACAGTGTGCTTCCTGTATACCTGTGTAGAAGTGTGCTTCCTGTAGAAATGTGCTTCCTGTAACAGTGTGCTTTGTGTAAACTTCCTGTAGAAGTGTGCTTCCTGTGTACTTCCTATAGAAGTGTGCTTCCTGTATACTTTCAGTGCACTTGCTGTTAGCCAGTTTGGTGGTCATCAGTCAAGGTTAAAGATCAAAAGTCACACTTGATCTCTTTTGGAATGAAAAGGTTTAATGTTTACATGTTACTTATGAAATCATATGAACAAATTTAGTTAAAAATCAAAAGGTCAAGAAGTAGTATTATATCAGTGTGAGTCCATGTTCGTTTTGTTTTAACAAAATCTCACATAAATATCAAAATTGCCTTGATTATTGACCAGTCTTAAAAATGAAGACATTTCCTGAAGTAAAAATTGGTAAAAAGTGAAAAAAATCAGGTCTTCGTTGTGACAAATCATCAGAAAATATGTAAAGTGATTCGAACCAAAAAATCTTCTGATTTCTGGTAAAAGCATGGCCACCATTTCAGTATTCTTTAGAATGACCAAGAACAAAGATATATATGTATATATACAATGATTTTATCAAAAATAAAATATAGGTCAGTTAACGTTTAAAAAGTTCTTTTTCTTATAATTACATATTCACTTTTCAGAATGGTTTATTTAAAATGAAAGTAGTGATGAATAGAATGATTTTTTAAACAAATCCTAAAATACACAGAAAGGAAAACCACTTCTACAGTCCTGTTATACTATTTGCCAGGGCTAGCCTTCTGATTGGACAATTTCTTTATTCTATGATTATAAAAATGAACTCTCATATGATACTTATTCGATGAACACAATTTTATCTCCAGACTCGTCTCCTCGTGACTCACGGCATTCATTGGTTACCGATGGTGGACTCTATAATCGTACTAGTGGATGGACAAGTGTCTGAGATGGGATCGTACGAAGAACTCCTTGACCATGATGGTGCCTTCGCTCAGTTCCTAAAAACATATCTGACACAGGACAATGAAGATGATGCTGGAGAAGACGATCCAGAAAGTAATGAGATTCTTATAAATCTCTTCCTGATTGGTCAATAATGTGTTATCCTTCTCATCTCTAAATTTAGGTCGTAATAGTGGGCATTGACCTACACAAGGTGAAGATTTTGGATGCGTAGATCGATAATGTACCTATTTGAAACAGTAGCATTGTTTGTGAAAATTAGATACTCCCTTAAAACTAAACTGTAAATATTAATATGTTAGAATTGAATTTTCTCATCTTAAATGAAGAGTGAAAATATTGACCCATGAAAATAACGTGCCATACAGTAAGATATCAGCGATGATAAATTTATGATGGAGAATGTCTGTGATTTGACCAGTGACCTGAATTCAGTGACCTGAATGAAGTAATGTGTAAAGGGTTATGTTGTCTTATTTTTGCTGTTTTTGCTGTATAATAGTACTTGGCAAACATTGAACTAGCAATTTTAATTGAGAAAGTTTTACACTATTTAGAATCTATTTCCTGGTCTTCAGTGACAAATATAAAGTTAAATGTTCTAGCCTTGATACAAATCATGAAATTTGCAAAATAAACTCGTTTAATGCCAATACATATGGTTAATTAAAGGGATATTGTGTGTAAGCTGACAAATTAATGACTGTTTTGTACCTTTCCTAAGGTCAGTTTGGACAGGCGAAATTGGTGGAAATAATGTTGACCCCTGCCAATAAAGATTAGGCTGTCTAAATATAGCACATAGGGGAATTCAAATATAACTCAGTCACAGACAGGATCTTCGATTCTATGTAAAGTTCATTAATTCAAGCCACTTTTGTCTTTAAATTACAACTTCATGTTTCTTTTCCCTTCTTTCATTGTAATTTTTTGTTTTTGATTTTTCAGTTCAAGAAGTAAAAAGTAAGATTCTTCAAAGACTTGAGTCTGTAACCTCTGACACAGCAACGTCTGGGGACGAGTCTCACATTAGGGCACGGAAAAGGTAAGTATACAATGTCCTGAATATTGGTTTTAGTAAAAAGTTTCAGAAAGTTGTGTGGGGTAGTGGCCAAGTCATTATACATGTATACTCAGAGGGTCAGTGACAGTCCACTTATCACTGATGATATTAAATATAGTATAATAACCGGCTTATGAAGACTTTTTTGTTTCCCTATCTTGAAACATTTGCAAATAGAATTTCCACTGACAATCTGCATTTTGGTAATTTTCATAGGAAAACTTCAGAGAGCAAACCAAATCTGGCCAGGTCGATTTCAACAGCTGTGGATGCAAAATGTGAGAAAACAGCACCAGTTAAAACCAACAAGGAGAAAGATGTTCTGATAAAAGAAGAAACACAACAGGAAGGTGCTGTAAAAAGGAAAATTTTCATGAGGTATGCCCGAGCTGTCGGACTTCTTGCCACATTAATCATATTTCTGCTATTTATCTGCTACCAAGGTGCAAGCGTGGGTTCCAATATCTGGTTAAGTGTTTGGACAGACGACAAAGATCTCGCAAATGTGTCAAACGCCAACACCACCGCATACAAGAACAAAAACTACACCTACTTAGGGGGTTATGCAGCATTCGGTATTGGACAAGGTAAGTTGTATTGATTGTTTTATATTTACATTCACACTACTCTGCAGTTCATCGTTACCAGAAATGTATTAATGTGATGCATGTTACACACGTATGTTTATGATATTGTGTGTGAAAGAGAGTGTGTATGCTGTCTGGTCTTTATGTAATGTACAAAATGACTTTTAAAATGCAAAAATCATAATAAAAATGTTACCAGAGATTGAATTAAGGTCATGTAGAAATGGGAGCAGATCCTTTATCATTGGCTTCCACAGCTTCATTGTCCGTCAATAAGCCCACCCCTCTACTTTGAGTCAGAGTTTATATATTGGCTTTCACAGCTTCATTGTCCGTCAATAAGCCCACCCCTCTACTTTGAGTCAGAGTTTATATATTGGCTTTCACAGCTTCATTGTCCGTCAATAAGCCCACCCCTCTACTTTGAGTCAGAGTTTATATGTTGGCTTCCACAGCTTCATTGTCTGTCAATAAGCCCACCCCTCTACTTTGAGTCAGAGTTTATATGTTGGCTTCCACAGCTTCATTGTCTGTCAATAAGCCCACCCCTCTACTTTGAGTCAGAGGTTATACATTGGCTTTCACAGCTTCATTGCCTGTCAATAAGCCCACCCCTCTACTTTGAGTCAGAGGTTATATATTTGCTTCCACAGCTTTATTGTCTGTCAATAAGCCCACCCCTCTACTTTGAGTCAGAGTTTATATATTGGCTTTCACAGCTTATTACTTGATAATCACAGTAGATTGACATGACAATGCCTAACATAAAATACCTTTTTTTCTTTTTTTTTTCATACAGCATTTCTTATAATGGTCTACTCATTACTAGCATCTCTGTGTCAAGTCAGGGCTGCAGCCAAGCTCCATCTCGGAATGCTAGAAAATGTGATGAAGGGGCCTATGTCTTTCTTTGATACAACTCCGATTGGACGTATTGTAAACAGGTTTTCTAGGGACATTGAGACGATAGACAGTATTCTGCCAGGAACAACCAGGTTTTTTATACAGCAATGTTTCGGCACGCTGGCTACGTTTGTTATCATCACTTACAGTACTCCGATCTTCCTCAGTGTTATCATACCCCTCTTTGTTGTCTACTACTTGTCGCAGGTAAGTCAACAAAGATCGATATACCAGTGATATAGTAAGATAAGAGTTTCTATTGGTCAACATTATCGTACCAGGATGTAAAAATAGTATTGTCATACCTATAATATTTATTTTCTATAATTTGCTGTAGTGAATAAAATTTAAAAATCCATGGCCTGTATTTATGAAACCGTCCTCATGCTCAAGCATGAATTTTGTGCTCAAGCCTAATGTCTTGTTTAAGTTAAAAATTAATAAATAAGGCTTATTTTGCAAAAGATTTAAAAAAAAATTTGGAAGGACTTCAAGTCAAAGCTATATTCAAGGATTAAATTTGACATTTGTATTATTTTATATGATTTAGGTTAATTATAAAAAAGTTTGCTTGAGCACATGTTTGTTGAACTCTCAAACTGTCGGCCGAACGGATTACTCCGCTGGTTCAACATAACACATGTTGACCTCAAACCTAGTCAAAAAATGTATGTTGATGTTATATGTCTTTTGATAAGCTAGCAGGTCATTGTCATGTTTCTTAAATATGAAAATATCTGAAGAAAATTGAAAATGTTTTGTTTCTGACCAGCAAAATAAGACGATAGTTATTATTGAATGGAAGCCTAGCTAAATTTTACATCAGATTCAGTGTTGTGATAGGAGTACGCATACAAAATTTTCTTTAAAAATATCTCAATCCATAATATCTTGCAGACACTGAAATCCTCATAACACTAAATGTCTGAACCTCTGAGGGTACAAGTAATTCTTAAAACCTTAAAAAGTTTTCTATAGTAAGTTATGATTATGGAGTTTCTGTTTTGAGTTAATATCTAAGTTACATCACGGAATGACTTGTTGCAGCGATTCTATGTGCCGACATCTCGTCAGCTACAACGTATTGAGTCTACAACTCGCTCCCCGATCTATACCCACTTCAGTGAGACTATAGCTGGTGCATCTACCATAAGAGCGTACGGACAACAGGACAGATTTATAGAAACTTCTGTCCAGCGAGTCGACAAAAACATTCTGTTTTTCTTTGCCAGGATTGCCTCCAACAGGTAAACAACAGATTTGTATAAAAATATAAAACATTGCTAAATTTTATGTGGCCTGATTGAGTATAAGGCCTTTGTTTCTTCTCTCATGTAGCTGTATTAGGTACAAGTAGAGTCTGTCATAGTTGTGAGAGATGGTGTTTCTTTCTCCAGCGCTTCCCGCTCTTCTCTGCCAAACCTCAAAATCTGTCGTCTCACTAACACCCTGCCAAAATCACTGTTGATCACCCCCACTTAACCTATGTATCTTGAATCATAAATCTACGCTGATGTTAGTTAAATCATTGCTGACCAATACAATCCGTAAATCAATACATACTAACTTTACATAGGAATAGGTACATAGATAATACGTATATAGAAATAGATACACCTACAATTGTTTACTGCGTGATTAAATGAGATGAAATCTTCCTGGTCAGTTTGTAATCCTGCTTCACCTATATTTAGTGTTTACTGTCTCACCACATCAACATAAATCTTATTAACTAAAGATACACGTTAGGTCTGACAATAAATGTGTCAATTATAGATCAACGGTAAATTTAGAATTAAAATGAAACCAATAGTTGATTTTGTTTCTGCTATGATTTATATAATTTGATGGAACACCATTTCCCGGTAAGCCATCAGGCTACATTTATCTGTCGAAGCTTCAGGTTTAAGTCAGTTTTCTGGCGTATACATTTGAAATTCAAACATGGTGATTTTCATTTTATTGAAAGTTGAAATTCTGGATTATGGCAGAAAAATAGAGGCTTTCATTTATTATAAATACAAAAGTCTTTGTTAGAGCAGTATGTCTATAGTATGAGACGCCTGTCTATTATTGAATGGTTGTGAACAATCAGTGACAACAGTGTCTGAAGGCTACCATCATTGTTCATGTACACAACTATATTTGATAGACCTAAAGCTGTGTTTTACTTTTAATGTTCAGATGGCTGGGGACTCGACTGGAGTTTGTCGGGAATTTGATTGTGTTTGCGGCGGCTCTGTTTGCTGTGCTATCTAATGATGTCAGCAGTGGAACAGTCGGCCTCTCCGTGTCCTATGCTCTGTCGGTATGTGTATATATTACATAACTGTCTTGTCACACAATTGTACAATTCTGTGAATACCCTGGTGTAATATTGTTGTGTATTACGTCTGTAATATATAAATTTTATACGCTGTTGTGATATTTTTGCACAACACACATGTAAGATAACTTTCATGACATCATGTTTAGATAATTTTCTGAAGTCACAATTCTCACTGCATTGTGATTAACAATTTGGACCATAGATGTAGCTTCATGTCTGATGTGGAAATCATGAACACTGATTTCTGTGGGGAAAATGGACATTGAACCTGAAACTAACCAACTGAGAAGTTTAATTAATTGTGTCCCATTTTTACATCTGATGAAAATTTCTTTATTTGATCCATGTCCTGGTCTACATCTTCACTTATATATAATTACTTCCCTACTTACTGAGTACAGATTATTTTCAGCACTGTCAACACAAGGATCATTTGTTTTCTAAGTTTTCACATTTTTTTTTATTTAAGATTACATCAGCCTTAAACCTGCTTGTACAACAAGCAAGTAACCTGGAAACAAACATTGTGTCAGTTGAACGTGTTCAGGAATATGCAGAGACACAGACTGAGGCAGCATGGGTTCTGCCCTTCAGAAGACCTCCACATGATTGGCCCGATAAAGGTCATGTTAGGTTCAATGACTACAAAACAAGGTACCGAGAGGGACTTGATCTTGTACTAAGGGGAGTTAACTGTGAAATACAGGGCGGTCAAAAGGTGAGTCTGACTAGGTGAATATAGGTCAAGGTTAATGGTTGCCATACTGATTGCATTAAGAGATATTCTGTTTCTTTGTGTGATATGAAGCTGGATGTGTTTGATGCTCATTAGTTTGTCTGGTGGTTCCGTTGTGTGATATGAAGCTGGACGTGTTTGATACTCGTTAGGTTGTCTGTTGGTTCCGTTGTGTGATATGAAGCTGGATGTGTTTGATGCTCATTAGTTTGTCTGGTGGTTCCGTTGTGTGATATGAAGCTGGACGTGTTTGATGCTCGTTAGGTTGTCTGTTGGTTCCGTTGTGTGATATGAAGCTGGATGTGTTTGATGCTCATTAGTTTGTCTGGTGGTTCCGTTGTGTGATATGAAGCTGGGCGTGTATGATGTTCGTTAGGTTGTCTGTTGGTTCCGTTGTGTGATATGAAGCTGGATGTGTTTGATACTCGTTAGGTTGTCTGTTGGTTCCGTTGTGTGATATGAAGCTGGATGTGTTTGATGCTCATTAGTTTGTCTGGTGGTTCCGTTGTGTGATATGAAGCTGGGCGTGTATGATGTTCGTTAGTTTGTCTGGTGGTTCCGTTGTGTGATATGAAGCTGGACGTGTTTGATACTCGTTAGGTTGTCTGTTGGTTCCGTTGTGTGATATGAAGCTGGATGTGTTTGATGCTCATTAGTTTGTCTGGTGGTTCCGTTGTGTGATATGAAGCTGGGCGTGTATGATGTTCGTTAGGTTGTCTGTTGGTTCCGTTGTGTGATATGAAGCTGGATGTGTTTGATGCTCATTAGTTTGTCTGGTGGTTCCGTTGTGTGATATGAAGCTGGATGTGTTTGATGCTCATTAGTTTGTCTGGTGGTTCCGTTGTTGTATACTTTATTCTCATTTGAGAACGTGACATTACTTACTTGCATTGAGTGTCATCGATGATGCAGAAGATGTTTACTCTTCCAGAACACCTGGTTTTATTCTCATCGTACTTTTGTGGGAGTCACCATGTAAATCTTTTAGAAATAAATCCTTGTTGTGTCAGTTTTAAGTACCCTATAATCCTGACAAACCATGATGGCAGTCCCACAGAATCTTCAATTTTTCCATAACCTTGAAAATCCTATAGCTACATAATGTGTGCACCTCTAACTTTGGACATTTATTTTCTACAAAAAAAAAACTGTGCACATTACGTGGATTCTAATCTGTTAGATGTTGTTCAGACATGGTGTCTGAGTGATAACAAACCTCCCTATCGACATAGTTATATTTTGTTAAATAGAAGCTGATATTTCATTTAACGTATCCGTCATCCTTTCTAATATCTTTTACTAGTTATCTTTTACTTATCCAACAAACAAGTCTGAATCTTTCTGTCGTTATTTTTCTTTTTCGTATCTTTCCTGAGTCGATGATATGATATTTGGTATTAGCTTGTAGAAAAAGAACAGACCTTCAATCGGTGTGCAGTTTGCACATGACAAGGATGATATGTTTGCACGGATTTGTTTTATTGCTGACCCAGGTCACTTGATTTCTATAGGTAGAGTTCTGACCTTGAGCGACTTGATACTGATATTCAAAGTATGATAGAATGTCAGAAAATATTGGACTCTTGTAAATGTCCTTGTAAGTTCGGGTTACAGAAGATTAAGGTGTCATTAATCTCCTCATACTCAACCTATTACCTGTTAAAACTGTTAATTATCCAATTAGCCTTACCTTTCACGCTTGTTAAGTCAGGCACCTGTGTAAATTTGTTTTCATAAGATAATGAAATGGGTAAGGGTCACGCTCGTTGTGGTTTCCTAATTATCAGTGGATCAAAACATCAACTGCTGCCCTGCTGTAACTGGTAATCAATATTTTTATTACATACACTTTTTTCATTTTTTTTCAAAATCTGACCCCAAAACATACCTACGCACTATAGGTGATATATATGATAGTGAATGATTATAATTTTATATTCATAGCTCCTGTTTATAATTCTTTTTATCATTTTCATTGACTAGGTTGGAATTGTGGGTCGAACTGGTGCTGGAAAATCGTCCCTTACTGTGGCTTTGTTCCGCCTGATTGAGCCGGCAGGCGGAAGTATTGTCATTGATGGCCAGAGTATTGCTAACATGGGTCTCCATGACCTCCGGTCAAAACTGACCATCCTCCCTCAGGTAAGACTGGACAACAGAATTCTGCTTTAACATGGGTCTCCATGACCTCCGGTCAAAACTGACCATCCTCCCTCAGGTAAGGCTGGACAACAGAATTCTGCTTTAACATGGGTCTCCATGACCTCCGGTCAATACTGACCATCCTCCCTCAGGTAAGGCTGGACAACAGAATTCTGCTTCAAAATTATCATTCACGATTCTTTGAGGAACCTTACCAATGATCTTACATACTTGTCCACCATTTTGGATTTGATGATACCTAGCAACGGTATATATTCTTTACGTGCAAAAAAAATGTTGACATAAAAATTAAATGATATCCTTTTTTGTTTTTTATACCCAGAGAAGTAGTTGTTCACTGTATAAAGATTAAGTCTGTAAGGTTCTGAAAATACCAGTCAATGATAAACTTTTCATATCCATTTTGTCATTCAGGACCCTGTTTTGTTTTCCGGTACACTGAGGATGAACCTTGACCCCTTTGATGTGTACACAGATGATCAGCTGTGGAAGGCCATTGAGCATGCTCATTTGAAGAAATTTGTATCAGATCTTCCAGAGGGTCTGATGCATGAGTGTGGAGAAGGGGGAGAGAACTTAAGGTAGATGTTTAGTTTGTTCATATTCTTCTACTTTTATACCCTTGGATGAATTTGAATAAAATAAAAAGCATCTTGGAAAAATCTTCCACAGGAAATAGCTACCACACAGAATTAAACAGGTGTTAAACTCACTTTGATTCTGAAGTGATTGATCAACAAACTATCTTATTGTTATCGTTATGGGTTCTATTATTTTGAATGTAATTCCAGCGTTGGACAACGACAGCTGGTGTGTCTGGCTCGGACGTTACTGAGGAAGACGAAGATCTTGATTCTTGATGAAGCTACGGCTGCAGTTGACATGGAAACGGATGATCTGATACAGAACACCATTAGGACGGAGTTCAAAGACTGCACCATCTTCACCATCGCCCATAGACTAAACACCATTATGGACTATGACAGGTACGTTAAAAAATAAAGATCTTTGCAAATTTTGCCTGGAATAGTGATTTAGAAAGAAATTCAGCATTTCAGGCCATTTCAAATCTATATAGCATAAGTATATTTGACTGTCCATGCCCAAGCAAAATTCCCATCTTATTAGGCAGACACGGTCATGATTATATAATTCTGTTCTTTTTTTTCATATCAATCAAATATCATATATTTACATAGGTGAGCTGACACTCATTCCTTTTTGCTTATAAATTGTAAACTAACAGCTCAGTTATTTATTTTTACAAGTTTGTGATGTTTTTATTTTTTTAGGGTCATGGTTCTGGATCAAGGACTAATTAAAGAGTTTGACAGCCCAGATAACTTAATCAAGAATAAATCTTCTGCATTCTACAGCATGGCAAAGGATGCCAACTTAGTATAGTAATAATGTATGGGAATTCCAAAACAGAACTGTAATTAGCTAGTAATAAGTCCATGTCTGGTAATAAGACCATGTCTGGTAATAAGTCCATGTCTGGTAATAAGTCCATGTCTGGTAATAAGTCCATGTCTGGTAATAAGACCATGTCTGGCAATAAGTTCACGTCTGGTAATAAGTCCATGTCTGGTAATAAGTCCATGTCTGGTAATAAGTCCATGTCTGGTAATAAGACCATGTCTGGTAATAAGCCCATATCTGGTAATAAGTCCATGTCTGGTAATAAGTCCATATCTGGAAATAAGCCCATATCTGGTAATAAGTCCATGTCTAATAATAAGATCATGCTTGATGATAAGTTTATGACGGGTTATAAGCCCTTGTCTGGTTAAACCCTAATGTCTGATAATAAGCCCTTGTCTGGTAATAAGCCCATGTCTGGTAATAAGTCCATGTCTAATAATAAGATCATGCTTGATGATAAGTTTATGACGGGTTATAAGCCCTTGTCTGGTTAAACCCTAATGTCTGATAATAAGCCCTTGTTTGGTAATAAGCCTCTCCTTCTGTACACCATATTGCTTTCTGTAGCATTTTGTACTAACAAGCGCTATATTCATATGTCCTGTAATAAGCCCATCCCATAACTTTTAAGTTAGAGGTAACTGGTGTTGTGGCCCTAAGGCTTACTGCTGGATAACTACAGCTCTATTATATATACAGCCCAAAGTGAAAATCTCCATGGTGACCAGATCCAATTTACCAAAACTACACTGAAGGAAATATGCTCTAGATTTACAAATTATCACTGCTATAACAGTACTGTTACTCTACAAAACCAAATATCAGGAAGCTTGTTGTTGCATTTGGTTTAATGATAAGGTTTAAGCATTCTCTTATTTTCTTTAAGTGTAAGCAAATGCAGGTGTATTTATATAAGAAACTAAAGACACTGCAAACTTATTATCAGGATAGGCACAAATTTTTGAGGTTGGCTTATTTTCAAGGTTTTAGTGTATTTGCCCATTATTTATTTCCATGCAAACATAGAAATTGATTTTTGATAAGAAAGCCAACTAGGTGGATGTGTAGGGATGTTACATGGATGTTTAAGTGATACTTAAAGAGATGGATGATATTAAAGTCGGTTTGTTAAGGAGTGAATACCAATGTATATACATGTGCTACATTTTATATATAAATTTCCTTTATATGAGTAAACTATAAGCTGTATTTACTTTATATATTAACACAGTATTGTTATTTAAACTTTGAAATAAACCCTGCTGAGGTGTATTTTTATATGGAAAGACACCAAATACAGAGTTATGTCCCTTCTTTTGTTTGCAAATGACACTATCATGAAGACATCACCATTATGTAATGAAACAATGGCAGGATCTGCTCAACAAAATAGCACATTTTCTTAATCAAATCAAACCATACCATCTACTGTTAGTCGATGATTTATCTGTGATAATGTTTTTGCTGAGTGACAAAATCAATATGTTTTATAAAAGTGAAATATGTGTCCAGCCATACTCATGAATTTCTTTCATTATCATTTTTTTTATATGAAAGGATGTGGAGGTTATAAGGGTATGTGATAGAAAAATAGAGAAAATATTTCAGATAGCCATAATCATTTTGACATATTACTTGCATTTATATAATAAACCAAATCTTTGTGGAGGTTATATTTAAGATTTCATATTTATAGGCAGTGTGTAATTAATTATTTAATCAAAGTGTAATACTATTTTGAATATCCATGGTGGTATAGAACGGATATCAATTTGAAATGATAATAGATGGATTATAGTTTGTCTCCTTTAGCCTTCTGTGATTCAGTGAGAAAAAATGTTTCTCAAATCTCTACTTAAGGGTGTATGCTACTTTACTTCCAAAAGAGTTCATTTAAGAAGGAAAATGTATGATCTGTGATGGCAGCATTAACTTAAAGTTACTGTAAAGTCATAAATTTATGTGGGATTCAATTTTTTTGTTTTTTTTTTCAAAACTTCACTATTTCATGAACATTTGATTTTGTGGGGGAATGGAGCTTTATAAATCATTTTGTCCTAATTGCGATACATTATATACATATGGTTTGTGGATTAAGAGTTCCCGTGAACACATCGAAAATGAATTCCCTACGAAAATGAATGATTTTATAGTATATACTCTAGAGATAATTTAAGTAGCATATTTCTTAAATTTTCGATACATACAAAAATAAGACAAAAACATTGTAAAGTAGCATATCGCCTTAACTCTATTCCAAATCCTTTGTATGTTTTGTTAGGTAGTAAGGATTTGTTATATTTTTGTTTGATGCCATAGGATCTATTTACATTTAGTAATTTTTTCATGTAGTTTTACTGTAAAATGACTATACTTATAAATGTATATGGATCGAATTTGTATGTTTTATTCATAATTGAATGCAAATCTACATAACAATGTATATTAAAAGAAATTGTTTATAATTTGTGTAGATTTTTATATCATTATAAAAGCTATGAGGCTCATTCTGATCTTCCAACATTTCTGTTTCTCTCTGTCATGATCTAACGATATGCTTCACAGGCGATAGGGGCCGAGAATGGCAAAACTTTGCTCTGTGGTTTAGTGACGTATCAAAGTCTCAGTTTAGAAGTTTGAGTTTATTGATAAGCTATTGCTGTGATCCCTTTTTTTCTTGTTGTCAGTCTAAACATGATAACTGCAGGAGCATCCTGAATATTTGTAAGGCTTGCTTATCTTTTATTACTGTGTAAGCAAGGCAGGGGAAATCTTTAGAAGAACCTAAATCTCAAATGACCAATTAATCACTACTGGGGTTGAAGGCACAATGTCCCAGACAGCACAATTCAGTGGAAATCCTGATGAACTAGCCATGGATCCATTAGTATACATGAGGTCTCACTAAAAATCCAGGTAATGAGTACAAAGGAGTGAGTCCAACACGGTAATTCTTCTGTATACTTTATGTTTATTGTGGAACGTTGTTTACATGTTTGGTCCTCAGAACCAAACAAATTAATGATTAGTATATTTAGACTGTGAAGTGTTTATATTACAAAACTTGTTTCAGAAAGGTAAGAATATGTAACAATAGCTACAGGTAGACAATAGTGAGTCTACCAACTATAATTCTGGTTTTTGTGATTTGTGTGCGATATTAATCATTTCATATATACTAATGCCAGTGATGTTTATAGTTGAACCTTGTTATCTTGAAGTCAGCAGCACAGCCACTTGTAGACTCAATTCCAATAACACTTAAAAAAACAAACACCATATAAAAACTAGAAATAAAGCTATTGTGGGTTTTTTTTTCATTATTAAGTACTCTTGAGTCCACAAGTACTTGTGGTCAGAGGGACTAAAGGGAAACTCAAAGTTATCCTAGTATTCAAGTTAATTGAGGTTGAATGTGACAGAAGAATGACAGGGTGTTTGAGTTGGATGACTTCCAGATTGCTAGATTCTACAGTGTTTATTGCTGTTTTTCCTTTTGTATTCTGTGTTTGAACGATGCTATTATTACGCTGTAATTTTGCTACTGATCACACGGCGTTAGTTTCTTAGTGTGATTTGTTGATATAAGTAACATAAGTAAGATAAGTAATATAAGTAACATAACTAATAACATAAGTAACATAAGTAAATAATGGATGCAGGCAAAATATCCCACCAACATGTAGCTAGTCTTAGCGAGACCACCATCCTCCAGCATTGCTCATTTTTTCCCTTCTTGTTAATTTGACAAGAACATGTTTTTTCTAACAACTGCTTTGCAAGGAAAGTGAAATTCTAGTGAAGGTTACAATTGTCTCATTTCCTTTGTTTCAGTCTGAAACAAATTTCTGTGGTTTAACTTTTAGGTGACTTTAAAATAAACAAATAAATCCTGATGACAATTAGATTTTTTCACACAAGAAATTTGTTGTATTGAGAAATGAATAATTCTTCCATGAGTTGAGTGTCAAAATATTTTTTTTTGTCCATAAAAAGATGGAATTTGAGTTATACATTATGAGATCTAAAAATGTAGGTGATTTCATATAACTCAAACAGTCATCACAGAGATTTAGTTCAAGGATACATATATCATCTCAGGCTTTTCACTAAGTCTGAAAAACCTGCATTTTGACCCCATAAAATTATACACCAAGTCATATGTAAGGAATCCTTGGACCTGTGAACGGTATAAATTTGAGGGTCAGGGAAACTGTCTCATTCATGCTAAAAGATGTATTTCTAATTAATTTGTTTGTGTCCTCATACAAATTGTACACCTGAATAACAGAGGCAAACATTCCTTCACAAATATCAAACATCATGAACCTTTATTTTGCCCCCTTCTCTTACATTTTAATCAAATAGCAGCTTAAAACTTTATGAGATGACAAATATTATTTTTTCCTTATTTCAGTTAAACAAATTCTTTCAGAAGCATCATATTCAGAAATACATATCCTTACTAACAACCTGTTAATCATAAACCTTAATATCTGTTATGTTCTGTGTAAATACTGAGAATCTAAATGAATAAAATCCAACTTGATCCTTACTTGTGGAAAAAGCAGGTGTTTTTCATTGTTATAGTAAAGCATGCACTTTATCAATGTAAAGTTATCTAGAAGTATGGATTAAATATACATTAATTTGTTTTTACTTTCTGTCATATGTCGCTATGTGCAAGGTGTAATAACGAGCCAAAAGCATTGTTCAGGCACTTATCTCTCTGATGAGAATTTTAAAAATTTGGCAGATATTTATCTTACATTAAAAATCATACTGCAAAGTTATTAATATTTGTGGTGGATTTATTTTTGCTCATTTTATGGGCTCTCTTAATCCACAAATTAATGTGTCACTGAAATTCTAAAATCGTTATAAATGAATTTGTTGAATTGAAGCAGATATAGATACAAGATGTATCTATATTTAGCCTTGAAAGCAGGTGTCAATGAAAAAGTGAGTGTTTTGAAAAATGACGAAAATCGGGCATCTCAAAAATGTGATTTTAAAGTACTTCTTAAATTCACCTGAATGTGTTACTGATTTTAGAAACTTGGATTTACCCCAAAAATAATTTGATAACTCTTTAAGGTTATACTGTAAAAGATTTAATTTTCAAGTTGTTCTTTTT